GAATTCAAGTTTGCGACGGTGTGACGTGCAGTCGAGAGACCGCCATGAGTGGGATCAATGTTCAACGTCGCGTTGAGTAAGGTAAGACGTCTGCCCATCCGCCTCGTCTTTCTTCTCATTCCCCTGCAAGGGTAAATATTATTACATTCAAATAATCATTTAAAGCATTAATTTTAATATTCATTAAAACAATCATCCTTCGCTTCTATTATTGCGACAAGACTGCGAAAAAAGTCAATGAAAATCAGAAACACTTACTTTTTATACGCCAATAAGCCACAGGGAATAGCAATCAACAGAATGCAGAAGCATACAACTGCAATATATGCTCTACTATAGTCAAATACTACTCCATTTTCACCCTGTGGATAATCTGGAACACCCATTACAAAGCCAATCCTGACCTCTTCTTCGACGGACCCCAAAGCACTCTCAGTGACATTTGTTTCATTGTTGGTTATAAAATAAGTACTAGCTTCGATAGGTTTCATTTTCAACGTTGTATTTGAATTCAAAGACTGTATATTTAATCTTGTTGAAGCGCTTTGTGAATATTAAAAAAAATAAATTTTTGTCACGTTTTCTGATAATTTCTGATCGTGAGGTGTAGAAAATTCGGTACCCCCAAAGTATGTGAACCAAGATAGCGGACACCGGAACGTAGTATGTGTACCAGGTTAGGGTTAGGCCATAATTTCAGGTACAAATACTACGGGAGTCACTTGGCTAGTCCCCGAACTCGTAATAGAACTAAAAAAAGGGAAATTGGAATAAAATTATGGCCTAACCCTAACCTGGTACACATACTACGTTCCGGTGTCCGCCATCTTGGTTCACATAATTCGGGAGGACCGAATTTTCGACACTAAATGTAGTGACACCATTTTTTCAAATTGTAAACTAACAAAAGGAAAAGCACGCATGGCGACAAAAGTCAGCCTTAGTTGGCTAAACTACAATATACAATTTTAACAACCATAAATAAGTTCTTGACCTGCAATACAGACGTTTACAGATTTCTCTGAATATATAATGTATATACATTAATACCTAATTTTATTACTATTATTCTATATTCTATTACTTTACTCAAAAGCAAACATAATATGTGAGCCTTCAGTTCATTCTCGACGCAGCGATGGTGCCCACAACAACAAAACCAAATACGCTCTATATGTCAGAAACTTATATGACATGTGCAATTTCCTTTTATTTTATTTAAAAATGATAATGTGATCATTCCTCATGTCCTATTTTTTCACGTAAAGAATGGCTTTTGTAGATATTCAATCGATCAACCTTTGTTTTGTCCGCGTATGTCACGAATCTAAACCTTCGAACTCGATATTGACTCATGAAATTCATAAAACTTTAAACGAATGAAGGATGGTTATTGCAATGTCCGCAAAGTACATATTTGCCGAATGATCTAAAATTTGTTTAATTAGTTTCATCTTTTGTATTTTATTGGTCACATATACCGACTTCTCTTATTTAGTCGAAGCGACTTTAGGTCGCTCTTGCTGCATTTTCTGTGAGAATTTCTTTAACAATATTTTGATCTATACTTGACATTTCCCGCAAATCGATGATTAATTATTATGAACTTTCACGTTGGCGTTTTAATTGTTATTACTTATCGATATCTCACGAAAGTGCATTCATCTCATCTCGGACCAGAAGCCTATTGATTTTGGGCGAATTATGTCGTATAATTAGCGAGTTATTAATTAATTAGTGATGGGACACAAGGTGTCACTATGGAGTAAGAGCGGTGTTTGGGAGATCCCCTAACTTTCGATCGATAAGTCTTCGGTCTCTGACCGATATTCTCGTTTATCTTTTTAATTGTGTTCTTTTACATTACACATCAAAAGTTTTCAAAAATCATTTTCTGTGAGAATTTCTTTAACAATATTTTGATCTATACTCGACATTTCCCGCAAATCGATGATTAATTAATATCAAGTTTTACGTTGGGGTTTTAATTGGTATTAATCTTTTTAATTGTGTTTTTTTACATTACACAACAAAAGTTTTCAGAAATGTAAGAAGATTGATTAATATTATTTTGAAGAATATTTCTTTTTTTCCGATTCATGAGTATATGTATAAATCAAAGTGCAATCAATTACAATAAATACAGTTTATTATTTTGTAGCATGTCTATGCATGCGAAAACGCACTTTCAACTTTATTTACAGTTTCGGTACAACGTGGATTTGCCCCCCCCCCCGAGTCATGAAATAATCAACACCCCCAGTAATTAGACACCAAACAAAGTTGTCATATATCAACTAATAAATTTTAAACTGTGACTTAAAGCAGTGGTTCTCAACCACTAGTCCGCGGAACTGCATCAGCACCAGAAGCTTTTTTGTCGGTCTGCGAGAAATTTTGTTGTTTTTCAATCGTCTCAATCGCTTTACCGAACCCGAAATAACGACGTTGTGTTTGTTTATTGCGCAATTTATCTTTCGCCGACATATTGCTGTTTGTGGCCCGACGACGGCTTGGCACCGAGTAATCACGCTTTTTCGGTTCAGATTCATCGCGAAGCGTCCGTCAAATCTCGCAAGATTCAGAAGGCCAAAAATGTATTTTCTCTGTTCTGCATGCTTCTCCTACTTAATGTGAACATCCAATTGAAGGTTTGAATATTTTTTTGTTCAAACCAGAATACAGTCATGGACAATATAATATTTAAAGATGTATTTAAAAGAGAGTATAATAAACAAAGTTATATAATGAATATATTAATCAGGCTATTATGAATTACTCTTCAGCTCATTCGCTAGGTGTCGCGTTGTAGCAAAAATACACACTTGTTAAAATTTCGAAATATAAACATGTCGGTTATACGATAGAATTCGAGCTGGTATTAGAAAAAATATTAATTAAGACGACGCATAACGGCGATAGAAGGGAAGCATTGTAAATTATTGATAGAGCTTTCAGAAATTTAAAGTTTAGTGTACACAGCGAATTGCCACTTTACCAATATCACTGATGGGAATATTACCCATTAGAGAACCACGAACCTTTGAAAACTGTCAATTTTTACTGAAACTTGCTATCTTTTATGAGTACTTTGAAGGTCCAACACGGACTGAATGTGGTGAAACGCACTCCACCCAGAACTACACACAATTTCTAACATACAACTTGGAACACCATCGCGTCTCCAAACTCTTCAATGAGATCTTATTTAGCATTTTACTCTGTCGCAAAGGTTGTTCAATGATTGCAATATAACAAAACATCTAGGAAACTTATACAAATAGTAACAAACGTTAAACCGCAATCGCTGCATGAAATAAAAACCTCAGTGGGTGATTTACGAGCATCGAAGAGAGCAGGACTCTTCAAACGGGGGTCCCGACCCCGTGCAGGAGCTCAGTGGGGTTCGAGGTACCCATTATTTTCGGAACTAGCCATACTTACTTTTCTTCATTTTTTTTCCCACTTATCTGCGTGAAAAATATTTTTCGACACCAGATCACGTTAAAACAAAATATCGATCAAATTTGAAAGATTTGGCACCAGTACTGACTACTGTGACCCACCATCTCCAGAATAGAGACGAGATTCGATTTTTTTGTGCGAGAATATGCAAGCACATTGTTCTCACTGAAGTTCCTGATGGTCACGAAAAAAAAATCGGCCGTGCCAAGTGAGTCGTGATGAAAAAAGTTTGAAGAACACTGGATTTTGCCTTTTACTGGACCAGGCATGTATCCGTGCTGGGATTATTCCAAAGTATATTTATTCGGAAGTTTTCTTGATGGAATAAATTTATTAGTGTAATTAGTAATTGCGCATGAATATTATACAACATCAACAAATAATATTTGTTATGATACATAAAAGACAGAGCAACAAAAACAAAATTGCTTCGAGTAGTATTATATTTGCAAGATTGCCACGCGTACATTAAAAATTGACAACGCTACCATGCATAATAGATTGAACAAAAACATCTCTATTAAAATTGGCTCCATCACGAAGTACTATGATCAATCGAGTATGGCCATTTCTAATCTTAGTTCTTAACGTAGTCGTTTATCGATGAATCGGGCTTGTGATCTTTAGACTTGTCGTAAACGAAGGAGAAATGACGTTTACTTTACTCGTTGGCTTAGTTTCTTCGTCAACACAAGACCGATATAAACATAGAACAAGCAATGTTTCTTGAACTATATTTAACGTATCGCAAGCCACAGAAACACATAGATATTTTAGACGATATCAAGTGTACCGTCTCTTAGCAAAATTTTCAACAAGAGTTATAATCGTATAATCCCTAATGCAGCCCGCAAATAGCTGTCGCCAACGAAGTTCGGCTAGTTTAGCTGAATACATTCGTATTGTGTGTTACAAGTATTGAATAGTGACTGAATTATTTTAAATGATTTTTTTAACGCCATATTTAGAAATGTCCTTCAATTTTGCCCAAATTGAAGCTATTCTCTGTTCTTTTTAACAGAAAGAGAAAAAGGCGAAAACAAGCGCAAACCGAGTTCGTTAGCGAAAGTGAGATGGAGAGAAAGCAATAAAATAAAGTCGATGCCGCTGTGCTCGACCAATTCATGCACTCGACTCTCTCGAGTAATGCCAGGCTGAGTCACGTTAGTGTAGGCGAGAAGTCTATTGTTATTTGCTAGCATACTGTATGACACGATTATAGAGATGTTCACGCGTAGGCCCTATTGGGAAAGGGCATTTTTAAAACGACAACTGCTGGTAGTTTGTAAGACGTTGTAATAATGGTATATATATGATATTGTGAGATTGTGACGTGATGAAGATAATAAACTAAACAAAATCGAGAAAATCCAGGTGCCGGTCAGATGTATTTTGTTAATTCATAAGTGCGTTTTATTTTTATTGCAAACACATTTTCTCCTATTTTGTCAATACTTTTGTACAGTTATATCGTTTTAGCGACGCATTCCAACATTTATATTACTACGATATGCTAACTTCTTGTTATTGTACAGGTCAAATTTATAGAGTACGAGGTGGACGTCTGACACAGGACCAGCTGGTATTCGAACTGTTGTAGTTTTCATGTACAAATATAATTGAATATTACCTACTAATCACACAAGAGATCGGACTTGTAAATAAAGATCCCAATATGAATTTATCTTTACACCGGATCGCCAGTTTACTGGCTTATTTAGCGATATCAATATTTTGCCACACTGTCTTCGGCGAATCATCGTCGTCAATGAACATGAACTTGCGCATATTCAAGAAACGAGATTTTCTTACAACGAAAAAGGATATTTTACAGTCATATCATCGAAGAAAAAGACAAGCGCCTGGTGGAATGGTAACTACCGTCTATTATTTTTCATATATCCTTTATTTTAAATTGACTCTTTCAACAACCTTATTGGGCATAATCATGAATTTACCAAAATTACGTCGGATTATGAGGAATTTTCTGCCATTTGTGATTAATTGAACGCATTTCAAGAATTATATTGCCTAATTCACTTTTTTGTTACATTTTTATTGCAAAGATATTGGACAGAAATACAAGGTTTCCACACAATTCGTTAAATTAGTCTATTTTTCATACAATAAAATTGTGGGTTAATCTTTTTATAGTAGCAATGCATGCAGATTAATATCATTTTTGTTTAAAATAGGAAGAAAAAAAGCAATAAAATCTTTCGCTATATAACTCCTTTTGTTGAGACGTTCTAATAGGCAAAATTGAACCACAAAATATGTCAAACTTAGCTCAGCGCACTTGTTTTATTGATCTTTATCTACCTGATTATAAAAGAAGCCTGACTTTTAAATCAATATCCATCTACTGATTAAACATGTAACGTGAAGAAATGCACCTGAGCTCTCGAGGGAGTTGTCAATGCGTTTTTCGAACAAAGTGCACTGTTGAGAAATTTTGAGATTTAAAACGCATTTTGAGGTTATTCGAATTTTGTAATACTATGAGTGTTCTATATAATAAAAATCGTTGTGGTGAATTATCAATCGATGTTCGAATTCTGGCTACAGTTCGTTCTATAGCAGTTCATAAGTGAAGTTGCATTTTTATAAGCACCAAAAGTCAGTGAGACACTCACCATACGTTCACTAGTATTCAATACACAGTATTTCTTATTTCAGAGTTACCTCATCAGATATGGCTACGTAGCTCCGAGTTCTCTGACATCATCAGATGCTGTACAGGAGCAGCGAAGTTATAGGAAAGCGATATTAGAAATGCAAAAGTTTTTGGGGTTGCCGCTAACTGGGCGATTCGATACTAGAACACGAGCAATGATGCAGAAACCACGATGCGGCAACCCCGACAAAACTTCAGTATTGAGCGATAAAGTTAGAAGGAAGAGATATACAACCGTCGGTTCAAAATGGACAAAGTTGAAAATAACATATTCGTACGTAAACAAATTTTTGTATTTTGAATTCGTGCGTAAAGCGTAATACTATATATATTTAGTAATATTTGCGTATACTGGGGTACGCACGTGGCCTATATCATAACCAAATGTTGTGTACTATTATGGTTAAAATTCAAACCAAAATTTGGCAGAAATTTCATTTAAAATATTTGTCTTTTGTATTGCTTAACCTTATGACCTGACTCATGCATGCGCAAATTGTCTAGCATAATTTTCCCACCGTTTTCCATCCAATGCCAGCTATTTGGCATTTTTGCGGGTATCTCGTAAAGGTTGACTTGTTTTGTAAATATAAGCGAATTTGCTTCTAAAACTGGTGCGCAATATGAATTGGATTTTGTGGTAAAGCAGATACACTGGTTGTGATAAAACTACCCCACGATATAAGTTATAAAATGGACCGATTGTGAAAGCACACAATTCATCGAAGGCGTATGCTTGATTGGGACATCATTGTTCACATTAATTTATATATAGTAATAAAAGATTATTGTATTTTTCTGAATATTTGTTAGTGGGATTCGTTCCACTCATTTCGGAAGCAATGCGATCTGAAATTGACTGTACAAGTGTGGGCGATTTCAGAGAATATCAGCGAGCTCATTGTGTTACTTGAGCGATTGGATGGCTTGTACCCTCAACAGCTTCCATGCGCAACCAAACATAACAAGCAAAATGCGTTCTATTGAAAATGAACGAATAATATCACCACAAAACGATGAAATTCAACGCGACAACCTACCGGTAATTACCGAAATTCTATTTTCAAAGCATTACAAGACGGCTAACGTGGTATTATAACCAAATAATGGCAATTCAACGTAATGTGTGTTAAGTAATGGGCCTAACCGTTATTTCAATTAAATTTAATGACATATGGTGTAATTTAATATGTACTTATTTGGATTTGGACGTGTTTCACTGCATCGGTGGCATAGTAATTGAACCGTGAAGTCACGTGCCCGAGTAATCTATTCCCAGTGAGGAAGCTCCTTATTCACGTTTCATAATATCTCATAGCATATAATTCTAAACATTTCTTCTACGCTGAGAAATACATATGATTTTAGAATTGGAAAACCTCAACGATCAGGGATAATAACTATGTATAAAAAGCCCGCTGTTTACCATGTGAGAACTTCTGTTTTAAATTAACCTCGTTTTATTTGAACACGAAAAAGTATTATTTGCACAGAATATATAAACAGCGTTAGCGTTGAGGGATACTCATCCGGGATGAAAATAAATAAACACGCTATCTGTTTTATATTATTTATCGCTCTGGTGTGGAGCGGATGGGGGCAGTATGAAACTTTTGCTTTGGTAATGAACCAAAACATCTTGGCCTAGAAATAATTTCTGTTGGCAAACATAAATCCCGAAAACATGTTTTTGGATATAAAAAATAAAACACATAGGATTTATTAATTTGAGCGCTGGAACATTGTACTGAAAATATTTTCAATTCACTTCTGAATATACCAGGAAATTGAAACAAAACATTAGCTACCGGAAGTTTTTCGAACGGCGTGATTATACAATTGTTAAAATGTTTAATGTCCATCGTCGCTTTTGAAAAGCTCATATATGAAAATGGTATAATCTACTTTGTGTTCATGCATGATCAAGTGTAATCTTGAACTCATTGTTTGTGGAATAAAATGCATTTTCTTGGTCCTGGATTCCAGACAGGCAATTACGACGCCTTCCTTTATCAATAATTCAGCCTTTGTTGATTAGACCCAACAATTTTCCGAATCGATTGGCTTCCTTCGCCTATACCTGGTCTAATGGAAAGAGTTATATGTACAATTTACAGATATATATATTAAATATATACATAAAGTACGTAGGCTTGAGAAAACACGGAAGTTTTATACTTAACGGAATACTGGATACCTATCTGGTTAGTAACAACGCATGCGTATTTCACAATGCGTGCTTTTCATTTATAACAACAGAAATTTAATCCAAAAGTTCGAAACTCAAAAAAAAAATGTTTCCAGAATATGAGAATATTTTGATTTTTAAACTACCGCAATTATTTCATTGAAATACTATGGTAATTATTGTTTCAAAGTATGATTAACTAGCACCTATTGCTTTGTAAATTTTTTAAATAAAATTGAAACATTGGTCATTTTGCCTTGAAACCCTTAATTGAGTCGAAAACAAATCATAGTTTCAGGTTGTGTGTCTTTTTTGCGTGCTCGTGAAAGATACGTGGCCCGTAAACTGCCGGTTTTTATTTTAAAGCACTTTATGCTGCTGTGTGTTAGTTACTGTGCTATCTGCGCTCCTGCTTTGCGGTTTCATGGTCACAGACGGGTCTAATACCAAGGAATGGACGTCAATTCCCTCATGGCGTGGCAGCGTATCTCTGGCACTCAATCTTAATGGAAATTGGTGATAGTTTGTTATGTATTCTTTAAGCCTGTGCCAAAGACGCCCGTATGTACATAGAATTTAAAGACTCCGAATATCATCGCCAACGCACAAAATAAAATAGTAATCATCCAGTTTTTGTACAAAAGATCCTAAAATTCTCGCAATGAATTTCTAATATGTAAATCGGATTCACGATATAACTGTAAAAATGGCAGTTTAGTTAACTGAGATAAAACAGTAAATTGAATCCATCAAATTTCTTCTACTTGAATTCAAAGCACTCAGAAAAATGCAGATGCACGCGACCTACTTGAAATTTCACTATTCTCGCCATACATGTCAATTATGGCTAATCCCCACTTCAGTACATATACACAGGCTTTAATGGAAAGGGGCGAGTTTACAAATGAAAGTAAAATACGATTCCATTTCTTGTTTTGACCTTCAAGTATTTTCACCACGTGACAATATAATATTCTTCCTTCAATCATCAACCGCAGCAATATTAATTCGAAATAGGCGATCGTCAATTGCGTCACAACTGTTCCATATTCATGAAGTGTGTACTATTAAAATGTAGGCCATGTCATGCAGCCGTGTTTTTATCAGGGTGAAATTAAAACGTAGCATATTTACTGTCATTTGAATTTTAAAAGCGTGCAACAAAACTGGCGAAAATGCACCAAGCACTGACTTGGACAAATCCTGTGTAAACCGTCATCATTATTACTTGCATGTACCATCCTTGTCACATATATGGCATGATATACGCGAATAAATACTTTTCCGCTGACATACGTCTCTGAAATAAGGTCGCCAGAACTGTTACTGGTGCACGAAATTCGAACCTTTGTCCTAAAAAGGCACTATCGTATTATGGTGTCCGGTTTATGGCAGAGAATCCAGCTCACAGCTCGACTATGGAAATGCGCTGTCAAAAATGTGCAAAATTAACTGTTAGTAATTTCCACGGAGTCAGAGTTTCATATTACTAGTCGGTGAGTTAATTTATCATCGTGTACCCTAACATGAAGTACCCTTTCGCGTTCTACAAGATTACCACAAGTTTCAAGTTAATTTCACACATTTACTTAGTGTCTAAAGAAAAATTACACGTCTCACATGTAATTTTCCCATTAATATAGCTCACTTACAGAGGTGGGATTTAATCCTTCACAGACGATGAAGAATGGTACTTCGTCTGTGTGAATTTTAACCTCCATCGAATCGTAAAGCAGGACAGCGAACGGCACGGTCTATTGCGATTTGCGAACATAAGCCAGATCCCCAAAATATTCATTCAAATCTCTTGAATTAATCATCGTTGACGGCGTGTGATTATCTGCTTTAACTTGAATTATTGTTTCGAGGAAAAAGTTTGCTTGGTGATTCTGAACACAATTCCACGATTCGGAACCCGACGCGAAAAACCGGGCCCCGTCACAACTTAGTTCCCGGCGCTTGACGTTTCTCGTGTTCCATATTGAATTGTCACAGTTGGTGAGAAATGTTTTTCTCCGTATTTAATCATTCTTTTACATTTATCGTTAAATGTATTGTGGGATAAGAGAAGGATTTTCATATTTATATATGTATCTTACATATACATCACCAAACGTTAACTACATTTTCGATAAATTACACTTATTCTGGATTAGTGTTGGTTGGTTGCTATTCTAGGATTGATATATTTTGATTCGCGAACATTGTTTTAATTATATTTTAATAGAGTAAACATGTTTTCTTCGGTTTTTCGAGAAATAATAATATTTTTTTTTCGATTTTCGATAACTTTAATTTCCATAATGGTGTAAGTATGTAGTTTAGCCTTTTCAATTATGCATATGTAGTGAATTTATCTAGGAGAAAAGCTTTTATGAATCCTATTTTTGAAATAGCAAAGTTAATTTTAGTACTGGCCTTCCATTACTATCGAATAATTTATTAGAAAATGTGTTTTTGATTAAAGCGTATTCGGGTTTAACAGCCATGTAGTTCAAAGTCAGTCATTACTTTTCAATAGCATCCGCGTAAAATAAAAAAATTATGACTTTCTCAAAATTAATCCAAATGCCTAACCTTGTAGTAAAATATTCAATCGTCACCATGATTATCAACACTTTTTAAATGTTATTTCCCATTTAGCCTATACCCCGTAGTCGGAATCGCAACTTATATGAAAGCCCTAGTGTTCTGTTGGATTATTGATAAACAAATACACAATAATTTCACAATAAAAAATTTTTTTATTTCACAGAATCAACAATTTCACGCCGAAGATTGGTAAAGACGGGACACATCAAGCCATCCACAATGCATTTAGCGTTTGGGCGACTCATGCGCCTCTCAATTTTGTCAAAGTCAATAAAGATGACAATCCAGACATAGTCATCCTTTTTGCAAAAGGTTATCATGATGACAATACCGCGTTTGACGGAGAAGGCGGGTACCTAGCACATGCCTTCTATCCCGGACCTGGAATAGGTGGCGACACCCACTTTGATTCTGAAGAACCTTGGACGATTAACAAAGCTCCATATGAAGGTAACGTTTAAATTTTTAATTGGGACTACAGTAGATATATTATTCTCATTTAATTCCGTACATATCGTAGTGTTTCGATTGTATCGTACTTTATGGCGATGAACAACACTGCAAATAATCGGATATATGTACTGTTCAAATATACACGCTTTTCCCAGATTAGCAGCTATTCGTAGAGTGCAGATAAACTTTTTTATGATGTTGGTTTCAAGGAGGACTTTGACAGGCAAAAACGTCTAAAATCCCCTATTATCATTCTATGGTTCATATACAGGCCATAACGTTTCTCTTTATTATTTTAGCGTATCTCTCTTATTCTATCTAGAGCATTGTAGTGTAAAGTTTGTAAACGATACAATTTCTTGACGGTTTCACTTGTACAGATATAAATTTGTCTCATAAATATTTCACCTTGAAATTGTATTTTCGGCTTTTCAAAGAATCATTAGCTTGGTGGTAATTACTTTTTGGCATCAAGAAACGAAGTATATAGACAAGAGAGCACTATCGACCTGTCTGGTACTTTGACACACACGCTCATTAACGAAAAGAATAAAAATTGATACAACTACTAAATATAGATAAATGTATGGGAAATTGGTAATCGAAGTTGGTATAAGCGGGGTTTAAAATCGATGTGTTTAAGAGTAAGACCTGAAGCGAATTTAGTTGAAATAATCAAATTTACTGAATATGATTTTACTACATTATGAAAAGTTGGTTTAGATTAGAAATGACCTTAGTATTTACGATTTGAAAGATATTGCGTCGAATTGATTATCGTTCGTCGAGTTTAAAATTAAATTGTTCTGACTCTATTTTTTCAGCTAATTTTCTTCCCTTTTTAATGAACTACAGTCTCTATTAATAACTTGAGTCATTTTTTATTCTAAAATTACCCCCTATTACATGTCAAAATATGACATAAAATACATTTGCTTTCAACGTTATAAATGTCAAATTGTTGTATGGAGCTTTGGTCACACGCTTACTGCCAACAATATCCTTCCCAATATGGATGGATTATTTATTACCTTGACATATGGAGTAGCCAAAGGACTGTTCTTGTGCCAAAAAGGAAGCTTTACCTACTTCCAACGGTGTTGACTTTGCATTGAATATAATGCATAATCAGTTTTTGACCTTTAGATAAAAAATCCATACAGCTTTTTTTTCTTCTTATTTGTAACTTTGACCATGTCTCATACACAATAAACAATTGGAAAATAATTGGAAAGTTGAATGCCGATCATTGCTGCAATCAGTAAATCCAACAACATTCAATCATTAATTCCTCAAATGTCTAAGTGAGAATATTTTGTATCAAGTCGTTGATGTAATTTTTGATTCAGTCTTATCTTTTCTGAATAGACAAAAGTTTGTGAAAGGATATTTGTATGTAATTTGGCTACATTTGACATTGTAGTTTTTGAATGCACGATTCATAATACATCAGACATTTTTTGAGTCCCATAAAAAACCAGTAGTTAAAAATCTGAATTAAACGGTGGTCTTTGAGATGAAAGATTCATTTCTTCTTACAGGTTAATAAATTATCATATTATGTAAAATGGAATCACGGAACTGCCCCACGCTTTACTAGTAAGTCACTAATTATGAAATCATCACCTTTGACCTGGCACGATTTGTTGCTGCAAATTGAAGTCCTGCATGAGAACGTGATCGGTAATCGTGGATGTGAGCGATTCCGATTATGAATTGCCCTATCGTCCGGCGTCTCGATTGGATGACGAACATCCGCACCCGGAAATGAGTGAACCTTACAACCGGAAGTTGTAAGGTCGTAAACCTCAAATTCAAGGCACTATTTCGACGCTGTACACTGGGTGTAACGGAAACAGTAGAGCAAAGTACGCTGTTAAAATAATAAAATATATTACCCTTATATTTGGGTAATATCTCTACATAATCGGGTGAATTGGTGTTATATTGTATTTTGTTCTTCCATCAGTGTTTTTTTTGCAAAAAACTCGTTTTTAGGTCCACCCCACACACACTCCAAGAATAGCCTTAAATTGACAAAGCGTTCAATGTATTAACTTCAAATTTTTTGTAAATTTGACATGTTTGTTAAATTAAATGGTTTGTTGGGATTGCCGTTCCAAAAAGTTAATCTGTTGGCCTGTGGTACGATTTTATTTATTTAAGGATTTAAATGCGTTACACATATCCGCGGTCGGTGGTTGTAAAAAGTATTTCCTACAATAAAACATCGTTCGAAGGCCGATCTTACATGTTCGTCATTTGATTAATAACGTTCTTCAAATACAGAGAACCTTTTCTCAAATCTTAATACAAGCTACAATATCCTATTTCAAAAAGCATATTGCGTCAAGATATGATTCAAACTGACGTTGCGTAAGTCACTGTCTCGATCATTACCTGATAGTGCGCGGGATGGGAATTGCATCCCGACTTTAGTGTATCATACACTTATGAGTTTTAATTATTATTTTATTTATGAAGTTATATAGTTAGGATGGTATTATTCTTCACTCTGTCAAATCGGTAGTACTATCTGACGCATACGCTACGCACAAACTTACGGACGAATGGTTCATTAACTTGACTTCGATTAAAATAGAATGCGTAAAGGTTGTGGACTGATAACAGAGATATCAAAAAGGTCATTTATTTTCAATCTTCTCCAGTTTATATGGGAATGACTCCTAATGGAGTAGGTCGTTACCTAAAGAAGGTTGCCTCACTTTCGAGCCAAGATGGTCAAAATTGATTTACGGATTACTATTCCGATTCAATCTCGAAAAACATCTACGATTACGGAATAAAGAATACATTCTAAGCTTGGTCATATTTATCGACAACGTAACGTTACCCCCATCGCAGTAACGGCATTTAAAATCACGGTTGGAAATTAAGACCATCTTGGATTTAAATTTTCTGGCCTAAAATGGTGATATGTCGAATTAAATATCCTAAAATATGCCTAAAATGAAATATTAATATATAGAATTTTGAATGTGTGTGTTTATTCTATTGATTTTGGACATATTTTATTCGGGTCGGGAAACTGATTTTTCAATATTTATTACGCAATATTATATATTTTTGAAGGGAACGTCCAAATTGTATTGAATTCATCCACTTCTTTTTATTAATTTGTCTGTATTTTGAAGACCATATGAAGTAAACTGCATAAACTGTACCGACTATCACGAAAAGGGGTTTTGTTCTAATTTTATACACGAAGCAGATAAACTCAATTTTGATCCCTTAATCCTATTTAAACAAATCAAAAGTCACTATTCTATTTCTGGTTGAAATAAGACAACATTTATTCACAAATCATGTCTTCCAACGTGCGATCGAAATTTCTAATCTAATTTCAAATCCAGAAAATTAAATTACTCGCTTTGTTGTGACAAAATCGCCAAATTCCTCTTTTTTCGGCAAAATAATTGGAGTCTCTTTTGTAAATTTAACCTCGTCTCCAACGGTCCAAGTAATGGCCGACTGTTCGAGCTATTTTCGCCACAATAAAATCTCTAACGGTCATTCATGACAGAACCGTATGGTGAGAAATATCTTCGTCCACACTTGAAAAATCTAGAAGGTAAACTCGTAGATGAATTTTATAAATTTTTACCGCACCGGTACTCAACGTATCGATTTCCTTGTTCTGACACGTTTAAGTGAAACTCTTCGGAAAAAGAATAGAGAAATATTTTCTGGCAATTGAGTATTTAAAAATTATCAATATCCTTATATAATGTCGGTTTTGTGGTCGGTTGTATTTTCATCATGTAGTGAGATGTTGGGTAGGGTATACTTAATTCTTCTTCTGTACTTATTGGTTTCGCCATTATACCTTTTTTTATTTTTGTTTTATTTTATACAGTATGAGCTCTGTTTAACCTCTCAGTCACATAAAATTTAGATGAGATAGGTACTCTATGTCGCATGTTATAACGACGTAGGATATGATGTCGATGTAGCATGCATATGATTGAAATCCAGATAAACGTTTATGCATATACGTCGAAAAAAGTATTTTAATTTATTTAACAGTAATTTTGGAAGAGTTATATTAAAATACAAATGTCAAGTCTTCGAAGCTTTTTATCATATTGTGTTTGCTTACTAGTACTAGTACTGTAAGTAAAGTGTAATTTGGTGTAGGGCATGCGCGCTGTTTTACATTTGAAAGGTTTGTTTCTATCATGCTTTTCTGTTGTCGATGAAAAATAACATGGTGTCATTTTTAGCAACGGGTTACTTGTGTCCATGTTTTGCAAAGCTTTTCTGATAATTAAACAAGCGTCTGTGTTTAGAAAACCATCGAATATGGCAAACTGCTGCTGCATTTAAAGCAACAAAAATTCCGAGACAGGCTGGCAGTTCAGCATTTTATTTCCGTGTGTAATCGGCAACTCATTTCCTATATTTAACCACTTCCCACGTTTTGTCAGGCTGACTATGTTATAACACATAAGTGTGTCAGTAATGACTATTCAATCTTTATGCGAAACACAATTATGACGGATATTGATTGCTATATTGGTGATATGTGTTCCGTTCTGACATGCCGTACAAATTCACTTCAGCGAAAAAACTAACAGTCACACAGAGAACCTACGTGCCACAAGGTACTTCGTGCTTCCCGATCGTGTTCCGATATGAAAAATCGTCTCGCATCAGTCGATTCTCCAATCTCTGGACAGCGTGACCGGAAATTATGTCAATTGCTAGCCGATTCATGTGCAATATTGTACATTTCAACTTGTCAGCCATTTAGTGACCTGGTGAGTGATACTGATCACATATAAATTCCCGAATTTCGTATTACCGTGTTTCCCCGAAAATGAGACAGGGTCTCATTTCAACTTCTCCTTCGAAAAATACCACGAGGGCTTATTTTGGAGAATGTCTTTTATTGTCATTCATCAAAAACAAAATTACAAAATAGAGAATTACGAGATTTTCGAATATACAAAATATGAAAACCGATATTTATTAATTATAAATAACACGTTTTATTTAAACAAAAAAATGTTAAACACAGTTTATTCAAAAATGACCATATCATCATCCTCTCGAATATCTTGCAAGTCACTAGATTCATAAATTTCCATAAAGATGTCATTTAACTGAATTAACTGAGAGGGAAGGAATTATATTAAAATCATTTTAAAGTTCAGGCTAGGTCTTATTTTCGGGGAAACACGGTACGTGCCACCAGGTACTTCGTGCTCTCGGGTCGTGTTCCGATATGAAATATCATGTCGCATCAGTCGATTTTCCAATCTCTGGACAGCGTGACCGGAAATTATGTCAACTGCTAGTCGATTTCCGTGCAATATTGTACATTTCAACTTATCAGCAATTTTTATGACCTGATGAGTGATGATGACATATGAATTCCCAAATTTCGTATTTATATATGCAACGTAATCTGATGCAAATCGTCTTCCCGAGTAATATTTTTCAAATATCCAAGTCAACATTGACACAATCTATATTAATTCGAAGTAATCCATAAATATATAATACGAAGAAAAGTTGTTTGATCAAACTGAGCTACGCGATGGGTGATCAGTGTGCAAATTAGTCAATAAATTTGAGTAGGATGCATCAATGATACTTCATTTATATTAGACTGGAAAAACGTAATGTTCAAAAACTGGCAACCCCATTGAGTACCGGCAGTCTACTCATCGGATCTGACATCTATCTTCGCTACCGTAATGCGACTTCATTACTCTTTCAGAGACGTTGGCAGTGTTAGAAAAACACAATTTCTTATCGTAGATTTTCATAACACAATATTCACGGCTATCACAGAACACACGCCCGTCGCCATTACTCGATCCCATGAGGGCAACGAGTCGTACAAGAAAGAATGTGGGTCGTACTATCTTTCTTACATGTCCGGATGCGCTGCCACTTGGGACATTGGCGACCAGACAATAGTTCAGTTTCCATTTGTTGAGATGTCAATTTTAAAAGGCCTGCTAGTTACATTTGCTACACTGGTAATTTTCTGCTGTCTTTGTTCCCCTACAGAATATAGTGATGACACTTCGGTGACGGTGTCACGTGACATTTTCAGCACTGCATCTTTAGTCTAAAAGACGTATTTAGGCAAATATCACGTTTCGGATATTCAAAATTTAAACATTTAAAATATGTTATTTACTCAAAGACGATTTTGGCCTCCAATAGTAAATGTTTTTGTTTATTTGTAGTTAACGATGAATAAGAAGTTAGGTTTTTTTTGCGTCCCGGAGGAAGTTTCAATCATTACAAAACTGATATGACTAATTCATTACCATTTTATGAAAGCCTATTTTCCTTTATTCAATCTGATTTTCCCCGTGTGTTATGGAAGTACTATCATATTTGTGTGCTGATGTGAGCATATTTTCATGCTAACGGATTTATATCGTGTCGTGCAGTTACTATTATCGCGCCAAATACTATATCAACGCCGCATCTGTTCTGGTTTGAAGTAGCATTTTAGAACAACCGACTATTCCCTTGAGTCCTTATTTTGGTAGTTTCTGCCACTGACACAAGGATTTTTTATGTCATTGGTGTATTGTATAAATCCTTCATGTCAATATATATTATCCTTGTCTTGATTTAGACAAACCTTCATGCCACTCCTTGTCGTTGTTTTTGGTTTATGGAAATGCAACGTAGACCTGTCGGGTGCAGGCGACCTAAATTATTCATGGGGACCCTCACTGTCGGCAACCAAATACGCTGCGGAATTCGCTCATAGGTTTACGTTAGAAGCGTGACATTAAATTTTGCGGAGAATAATAAACGGCAGTTCTTTTGACCTTACAGAAAAAGGTTTTAATTACTTCGTCCAAAACACAAGAAACTTAAATTTGCATATAATTAAATATTTTTCTTTTGTAATAATATAAATATTAGTTTTAATATATTAATACATTACAAAGATGGCACATTGTAAATTTATACAACAATTAATGGAATCATCAATTAACCCATTTCTACTATAAACGTACTGTATGTTTACACTGTTGGGGTTATTCGACATGGGAAATTTGTGCACATGGGGTAACTTTATCACGCGTGCAGAAATTTGGCTGCTCAATTCAGAGAACCTAAAAATACCCAAAGTATTTATTTTAAATTTCTTCTCATCTTACCCTATATATGTAATTCTGTCGAGCAATTAAGATTGCTAGTCCCATTTGTACAAAGTTTCATAGTGTCGATCGGTTTTTGTCAATATAGAATACGAATCTAAAATTGGCTATAGTCAATCCAGGTTCACAGATGACCATCGGTTTAGTAGCCAACCACATACTGGTAATTGACTGTGAACATATAGTCACGCTTTTTAAATGACATGGCACGTACGAGGTAGGCATGGGTCGCTGAAATTTCAAGATGGCTTGCAAAGTTAGGGTTCCTGTAGCTGAAAAAGCAAGTAAAGCAGCTGGTGACATAATTTAATCGAAACACACCCATCGTTCTGTTCTCCGTTCTTTATGAACAGAATTCTAACAGCAGGATTGGTCAGAGTAACATTTTGATAATAATTTACATGCTAGAATATTTCATTGTAGCACGATTTTTAGTTTTATCTTTAACTCAGTTTTATGACTCGCTATGGCGTATAAGCTTTGAGACTCCAAATAGTTAAAAATTTATTGAAAGTGTTTTGAAATATCTTTCATTGCAGACACGTTATTTTTGAAAACGTTTTTCGAAAATTCGATATTTTCGTGTACTTTATTTACCTAATTTTTCATTTGAAGTGTAAAATAATAGGACAAATTCATATAGTTGCACTTTGTAATAACTATGCATAGAACGAACACAGCTGTTGAAATTACGGTTATATTTACATTTTTTCAAGTGTTTTATTTTTACGAAAAACACTTTTGTCAGCATTATTTTTCAAAATTTTATTTCGAAGTTAGTTTTTAGTTGGGTCAGTTTTAATTTTTTATACTTGCATTCTCTCATGCTCAATTCTCACGACGGAATAAAATTTCAATATTTCTATCATAAAAGTGTTTTTATTGTTTATCTGATATGGCAGGAATCCTAGCATTCATCGATAATTCATTCATTCAAACATTTTTCGCAGGAAATGATTTATTCCTGGTTGCGGTTCATGAACTCGGACATGCACTTGGACTAGGACATTCACCTGATACCAATGCAATTATGGCTCCTGTATATCAATACCATGATACATCTAATTTTCAACTTCCACAAGACGATATCAATGGAATTCAGATTCTTTATGGTAAATTGAGTTTGTAGTAACTTTACTCTTGGGTCGCTTTATCACTGGTATGGAGACGGCTTTTGTCAAAATAACGTATAGAATCTGACTTTTGAATCTAATATGTTGTAAAAATACGCCAAACGGACGAATTCTTCTTCGCTACTGTAATTTCATTATTTGCGTTCGAGCTAAATGAGTGTGGTTTATCACACTCCCAAATCTTGATTTTAAAATACTTGTGACATATGTTCACAACAACCTTTCAAATCCCGACTATGAATTTATTCCCCAAGAAGCACGAGAACAAAATTTGCATTATCGATGAAGCGAAGTTGATTGAATATATTGTGAAACTGTGACCAAATTTTTTCTTCATTTTCAGGTATTTTGTCGCCGCCTCCTGCAGGGAAACCCCCTCTTTTGCCGTCGTCAACAGCAACAACAACTACAACAATAGCAAAAAGTACGAGGAGTATAATTACAACTTCAACCTCCTCCACTACAACGGAAAGAACAAAAACCATTCCCAGATACACACCAATAACACCGTGAGTATATATTTTGCTTTTTAAATATTTTTAGTGTACTGAATTCTCTACTGGATTACTTAACTGGCATTAGGCCACAGCCCTTTCTTTTAGATTCAGCATAGCCAACAAAGACCGGGCAGTTTAGCTAGCAAGAAAAATCGCATTAACTACTCTGCATAATTAAGTAGAAGTATTTCGACCGTTTGAATTATTTATCATATCCAAGAAAATCGAACGTTTGTTGCATGTTGCAAAGGTTGTAGTAACTTAGAGACAATAAAGTTAATATCCTATGCGTAAATGTATGAAAACGTTATTGTGCAACTGTCAAATTATTGTCATGGAATTGATAAAAAATGTTTTTTGGAGAATTTAGTACTAACTCTATAGTTACAAAAAAAAATATTTTAAATCTACGATTATATTTCAATTTTATCAATATGGTAGTTTCTCATTTAAATGGTTTTCCACGGAAATGGCGCGTCCGCACAACTATGCTATTCCTGGGTTATATGCAAGATTGAAAGTTCATCCGTGGCTTATAGCTCTTTGGTAAAAGAAAAATCCAATTTTTGAAAGCAACTAAAATTTTGAAACCAAAATGTCATAATTGTCAGTACAAAGTTCATTTTCCGTTTTCACTTCATTGCACTTTTCATAAATCGACAAATGATCAAATCAGAAATAAAAATAGAAATATTAAAATTGTAATAAGTGACGGTTTGCTGGGTGAAATGGGTTCAATTGTCGTATATGACTTGAATAAATAATTACTTCAGAACATTATTATAAATCGTTATTCATATAGAAGAGAAAACCTGATCTTGAGTGAAATTTTTGGATGAAGTTTACGGAATTTTTTTGTCCGAGTTTTCGTCTGGTCAAGCATGCCTGACATAATCAATCTTGTGTGCGTTTTTTTTTTCATTGTAATTTTCTATAAAATATTCTAGTCGTTAATTGACTGGTTATAAACAAAGTTTGCAATTTTTAAAACGTGCGTATGAATTAGCGTAGCAAATTGAGTAGAAATGGGAGTTACATACATGTCAATCTTTTTCGCCATTACGAATATTGCTCGCAAAACTTGAACAAATTGCTTCAATCATTCACGGTTCTCGTTGTTTCATAATGAGTCATGTTCAATCTGCGCTGAGAACCGAACCAATTTTGGTTGGGTAATGGAGTGACTGTTATATTGTAAACGAGGTATTTTTCGCTGGTACTCCCAAGTATGCTTGATTTACGTGGCAGTGAATAGGAAAATCTAATTTTCTCGTTTTGGCGTAGGTGTCCTATAATTTATCCGAATCGAATAAACCCTAATAATATAGAAAACTCCAATCAATTCGATGTTTTACCATTTACTCGCCACGCTCCTTGAAACTAAATAGCCCAAATAACCACACAATAGTCAAAATTTACAGATTTGAAAATCCGTTTATTTTTATAGTCCTCCACGAAAACCATCTACAACACAGACAGCACCATTGCCACCTGAAGTATGTGACATCAAAAACTTCGATGCAATCTCTTTCATACGAAACGAATTATACGTGTTCAGGTAAATAGAATATATTTCATGCATAATAATCACTTTCTTTTTGCCTTCGATAAGTTTGACATTTGCATATAAGGTACAACATTTGTTGGAGTAAAGTTTTTTAAAATATCAACTTTATGTCATTTCAAGCAAATGTTTCAAGAAATCAAGAGATCCGCACAATTGTGGCGAGTTTATCTGTGACTAATACTTGGTCATGGATTCGATTTTGTTTAACCATCTGCGGTGGTGTTACAGCCATATTATGTAAATGAATTTGATGGAATGAAAACATTGAAAAATTCTAAACTTATTAATTAACTTTAATATTTTTTATATATAAGGCATACTGTATCAGGGGTGGCCAATCTGCTTTCGAACGCGATCGAAAATCTTCAAAATAGCTTGCGATCGTCCGATCGGTAATAAGACCATACACAAAAACGAATGGGTAAAAATAAATGTTTCACCCTTTAAATGTTACATGACTGCTCAAACTTCAGTATTTAATTTACAATAATTTCTCCAAGCTCGAGTCCCTCACTCGCTTGGAATTAGAAAAAATTGGGCATTCCTGATGCCACCTCTACCATTGCCAATAAAATTTGTCAATTACCAGAAATTATTGTAGGATTGTTTGTCAGTCAATTCACACTATATTCGGCAAGTTCATTTTTAAACCTTGGCAGCGGCGAAACTTGCATTTGTCACGTAATAATATGCTATACCGGGCTTGTCCAGAGACTCCAGACTTGAATACATTGTATTTTGCTCACGTACAGTAGGATACTGTATCCTTCCCGTTTTAAAACACACAACGCGCGATGCATGAAACTAGTTCAATAAGGCTAATTTTGAGGATAAAATGAAAGTCATAGTCTTCGTCTCTCAGTTCATGCCTGGAAAAGTCAAAGAAGCTTTAATACCTATCCATACTTGGAAAATACGCTTTCGCGACATCGAAGAATCGTTGCCAGACAATTTAATACCTTCGCGACAGTTTGGCCTTGCAGACGGCTTATATCGAATAAATCCCTAATTTATATGTTTGTTTATATTATTTGGTTGTTTGCTTTTCGAAATAAAATATCGTTTTCATTTCTGATGCTTAGACGAGACGTAGGATATTATTACTTAGTTACGCATGAAAACTAAATTCGATCTCTATTTGGTTTTCGACGAAGCTTTTACCGGTGTGAAATTTCAATAACAAAAAAAGAAAAATACCCAAAATTGAATACAGAAAAAGTATCTTATTTTAAAAAAGCTTTCAGCATCTCGCACGTTATAATCTGGGAATTAAGTACATTTCACACACAAATTACCTCTGAGTAATTGAGTTCACAGTGTTCAACATTGAGCGCTGAGCAGAGTGTCAATTTCCGTACTGTGTTCGCACTCAATTTGTAAAGAAGTGAATTTTGAATGATGTTATATACCTGTATGGTAGCCCCAGTAGACAAGGCCATTTGAATGACGATTGAGTCCATACATCCATTCTTATTTACATCGTTCAGGTTGCATAATATGTGGGTCTAATTGATCAAAAAACGTGGAGACATGGGTAATCTCCAAATTGCGTGTATTGTTTATCATACCGTATAATACTTTTTGCAGTTCGCAATACATGTGGAGAAAGCCACGGACCGAACAGAAAGCAATAGGACCAATTCCTATCGCCAGTTTCTGGCCTGCAGTTGGTTCAGGAGTGGATGCGGTGTTCGAAAATCCCCTTGATGACACAATCGTCATGCTACAAGGTGAGTACACTCATACATGTATTTTAGTCGTCAGATTCTATTTTTTCAGGTAATAACTAATAATAAAAGGTTCCGGTCTTTCCAAATAGTGTTCAGAGCGGAGGCACGAAAAAAATTTATATAGGAAAATTTAGTTTAGCTTCGGTCGATATCTTTTTCGTATAATATTTTTACAATAGGTTTGCTATAGATCTTGCAAAGGTGTAACGGTAATAATATAGAAAACGAGTTCACTTGTGTTCAATTTCGTAATAGCTCTTTAAATTATTTTGTTATTGGTCATCAATGGATGCTTTGTATAAATTCTAGACAGTAGACAATGATGATTTATGATATCACAATTGTTTACTTTATAAATTGTTCGAATCTACCTCAAAAATTTGTCATCTAATTCTTGAATAAATCGACAGCGTGACAATAAAAAATATTTATTTGATGTTATGAATATTATTTCGTCATACGTTGATTACGTCATATTTATAATTCGAGAGTGCTCAATGCTTTTAAGTTTTGATTTAGTATTTGTGTTGATGAGTGAAAGTATTATTATTATTTTCTTTTGGCATGATAAATTTTGCTGACGTCCTCATAATTTTTTGTACTTTAGGAAAAAATTATTACGAGTATCATGAACATGACTTAATGCCGCGATTTCCACGACGATTAAAAAATATGGGAATATATGAAGAAACTATTGATGCTGCAGTATGGTGGTTCCGAAATAAAAAGACATATTTATTCAAGGGTAAGAATTTGTAAGGTGTGACTTTGCAGATAAATTTTGTTCATGAATTTAATTTTTGGATGAGAAAAAAAATTGGTGTACGAAAGAACTTTAGCTTATTGTTTTGATTTAGCCTCGCTGTTGTCTCACACTACGTTACCACCTCACTCAGTGTCTAATATGTTGAGTATGCTATAATTGACTGGGACGATCGAGATTTTTCCGAATCCTCGTTACGTACCAATGGTTGATGGTCTTTTACTCATAAAAATAGAATATTAACCAGCTTCGTAAAACGTGTGCATAATAAGGGAAATTGAGTTCTAAAAAATGGCAGGAATATGAATATGAACTCCTGCGATAATTCTTTAATCTGAATACTCTGTCAATATTGTTTCGAAAAAACTTAGTTTACTTTTATTTGTCACTCGTCAAAATTTAATCCACTCCTAGACAGGTGACTCAGTCGGATTCGGACAGTCGCTATGCGACACCGTATACAATGTATAGATGACCCAAATGACCTTTTATCAAATTGTTTCGATAATCGGCCAAATATATCCAATGATGAATGTTTTCTCTTATGCACGATTTATCTCATATCCCACGCTTAATCGATTTTTTGAATGCTGAATACCTATTCCGTAAGTTAAACGGCGATAACTATTGAATGTGAGAAGTGAAAATTCCCCCAAGCGATTTTTTCAGACATTTTATTGTTTTTATTTGTAGGAAATTATTTACTGTTTTACGAAATTGAGCGGAAAAGGCGATTTTACATTATTTTCCGACATGAGTAATAGCGTATCAAATATGTGCTGTTGTCTTACCTGGACATATTGTCGAAAAGTGCATCCGGTATTTTGTTCATTTATTGTTCATTTAGCGAATTTCTCCGTAAATTATAAAGATTTAATTTAAAGAGTGTTTGAATATAAAAATCATCTCAAATCTTGATTGACGCATTCACCATTATTCATCAGTCACATACTCGAAATAATATAAATTTTTAGCTGTCCTCGTCGATTCAAGATACGAGCGAGAAATGCCTTTTGCGGGAATATATGTGCGCGAATGTAGATTTGCGCGAACGAGCGTTTGTATAAAAATCTGACAAAATGGCAATACGAAAAAAAAAACGTTCTCACGCCAACCAAGGCTCTGAACATGCGTTTTGTGTCGCGATTTAAAATTTCCAAATTTGGGTATCGCAGGCTGAACGTATAGAATTCAAACTCACTCCGTTCTACGCCATCCTGGGTGTAACAAAATAAGTCGCGAATGTTAAAATAATCAGTGGTTGGGTGATCAATGTACCAACGACACGACATAAATAGATTCAAAATCCCACACGTCATTACAGCAATTTGAAACACCAAGATGTCTTACTACTGCGCTGCAACGAACCAGCTTCATATCAGTGTTACCAGGTCCGTATTTGACTAGTAAGTAAATAGGAGTTGAATCGAAGTATACTTCATTACTGAATTGTACCTCATTCTCAATGAATGACGCAAATAGTGATATGTGATATAAATGGATCTCAATAATAAATTGATTGGTACTTACGTATCCTGACTTGGGACTTGACCTGAGTTTTGTGGCCGCGTTGAATTTTGATAGAATAATTCGAAGTTTATTTTGTATGAAGAAAAATTAAAATTGTGGATTATTGAATGAATAACGAAGTATTAGACGGGGGTGTACAATCCATTTTCTAACTAAACTTCGAATTTGGAAGACGTTTCTGAATAATGTCATATAACCTGTATTGAAAAAAAAAATTATTGCCTTTGGAATCCATTAAAAACACACTGAGCGTATTTTTTCACAAATGATGGTGCCGCTAAGAAAGTCCCTTCTTTAGATTGGTCATTCTTTGAATCTCAGTATTCCTTGATTTCTGAATATTCTAAGAGCCGTTTCATATTTCCGGCAATTGGGGTACCTCTGTAATTCAAAGACGTCATAGCGACAAAGAACCGATTTCAAAACACTCTTCTACTTCGATAACTTGATTTAAATGGATTATTGTTAAAGAAATGGATAATAGGACTAGAAGCTTATGAAAAATAGCTTTTCCCAACATATCGTTAGAAGTTCACCGCAAATGACGGACCACTTGCTGGTTCGTTAAGGGACGCCACGCAGAAATAATTTACAAAAACAGACAGCCGACGGTTACGAGAAACAACTTGCTGAAATGTTATTTATGTTCATTTTTATGGTAAATCTAGAAAAAAACTAAACAATTTCTGAAATGAGAAGGATAAAAAACGCTTTCAAGGCAATTACAATAGTAGGCATCGACCGCTGGGCTTACATAAATATTCAATACGGTCAGTTAATTGCTTGATATTCTAAATATAAAAGCACAATTCTATGACAGCATTGGCATATCATTACATTGTAGCTGAAGTCAGTCAATTTTTCTCACTATATTGGGTCTTGCTGTCGTTATCACGTTTTATGAGTGATCCATATTTGCCCATGAAAGATTTATCGCGATTTAATAGAAATTCCAGAGGGCATGGGGTTAATGGTGTACAGGGAGACTTAAATGTACTTTAGGAAAGACAGCGTTATCACGAGTGTTGAAATTTTCATAAAAGGGTGTCCGTCGACACTTTCTGACGAACAAAAAACTCTTATCAGAACGGCCGTGTAACATCGGTCGCAAATCCCGACGGGAATGAAAATGGTAAAATTAGATATGAGTAAATGACACCCGTATAGGCATTGTATATATCATAAAAAGAAAGTCTTACAATCAATCTGACAAACTCTAGCAAATGCAAACTAATCCACACGATAATAAACGTTTATCACAGCCTTCAATGGCCAGTTCAGTGCTAATTCGCAAGCTCGCCCCTGGCCCGGGATACAAACGGGTGCTTGGGCAATTGTTTGCATTCAACACCTAAGGTTTCCCATCCAAGGTCCGATTATTCAATTAATTATTTACTAAACAAGTATCTGATTTTTAGTTCTAATGAGTTCAACTCCAAAATGTTACAGATGATTGTAGTAACGTACTGCTGCCCATTTCATTCTTTGTAGTTGTGCTTCGCACGCACTGTTACAGAACAAAATTATGCAAGTGTGATTGAGTCACTAGGAATTATTATATAGAAATGTTCGCAAGCCTGAAACAGGGCAGCTATATTTTAAATTCATCTGAAAATGGCCAAAAAAACGTTCTTTCTTGTTATTTTGCTAAGGTCGTTATTTGCACGTATTGTACCACTTGTCGATTTTCCTTTGACCACATCTCCGTTTTCTCCTCAATTTTGTCTCTATGACTAACAGCAAACTTTGATATAGTATGATTCAGATTTATTTGAAATTATATTTATTCAGCTATCAAAACCAGTCTTTCAATTTCCGTGTAAATAATAACTAAATAAACTTGAATTGATAAGTTTTTCTCAATTTTTAAAGTTATTCGCAGTTGTTTATAATGGTTTTTATCAGAAATGCTGCTTTTATTTCTTCCCATCCATGATAGTAATCTGATCGACACAAATTCGTGTTTTATTTGGAATCATCGACAAATATGCGTATCAGTCTGAGAAATATCCGCGCTGCCAAATAGTTTTTGACAAATTGTTACTAAAATAGCTTGTTTTCCGTCCTTTTACACTTGTAGCTGTCTGAATTACACTTTTGAGTCACTTAAATCAAACAGATGGACATATCACTGGTATGAAAAATGTCAATATAACAAATTTTATTTACATGCAACTTCGTACATTTTCTATTTCAACCTAGTCTATCCAATCACCGGTCATGGTCTAAATATAGAAAGTAGGGATAAACTTGCCATAAAATGTTTACTCGTGCATGACTTGGCCGATTGTGACGTCATTTTATATTTGAAAGGGTTGGATTGTATTTTTCTCTGAGAAACACGATGTTCCTAAACATCAAAATCTTTAATGCAAACATTTTTACACGCTTACATGAGGTGAAGCGACGCATTACGTAACGTTCAAGATAGAACTTGCTTAAGCATGGGCGATTGATGAGCCGCCCATGGCGGTTGTAACTTAATAATTGCTTCCAAATTAGCCTTTGTCGTCGGCTGTTTTACACCATTGGCCCAATTTCTACGCGAGATGTAGTCAGCGATTTGTGTTTATTTTTTAATGTAGAAAGAATCACAATTCGGGCAACAACCCTACTTTTTCCTGTTGCGCATTTTATTAGGAAATGCAGAACAATTGTTCTATTGTAAGTTTTGTAACGTGAACCTTTTGTTGAATTAAAAATTAATTTTTATTTTTGTTTGACGCATGGGCGGGTTTCCTGCAACAAAAATAGGGATTTGTACATATAGCTAATTTTGTGAAAAGCGTAATATTAAATGCAAAAAAATCAAGGCTACCCCAACACAAAAATGCATACACCCGATGACTGCCTTCAGCGACTTCGCCATAATAGACTCTGCTTTCCCTGTGAAATGGATAAATTCGATAATAAAGAGTACGCAATCAAATTATTTTATACAATTTCGAATCGTATTCGACTTTTCCCATGTCTTTTGCAAAATAAATTTTTTTTTATGGAACTTTGTGTTAATGGTGAAACGTGATTCGTAATACGAATTGGACAGATCGATTTGGCTGGTTTATATCTATGCAACGTGGAAAATATGGTCGAATTTTTACTGATTAACTAGCAAAATGTCTTAACGTTACCAAAATTTGTAAATCGAAATTTAATACTTTGCTGCAAAATTATTAAAATGTTAATTAATCGTCATATATCGGATCATATTTCCTAATTAAGATTTCAAAGAAACTCATCAAATTTATTTAGGATAATTACACTATCAATTATATGTAAGCTCCTGTCATACCTAATTTAACATGATTCCGGTATAAATTATCATTCAATAATAGAAATTTAAGTAAACACCTGCTAAAGGCGTCCTATGGGATAAGAAGGCGCTTATTTTGTTTACTATATTCCATGCATGAATTACGATGTTCAAATATTTAATACTACAGGGAAAAGAAAAATGTAACCATAATCCATATAAGGACACATAAGTTTTATTATGTATAATATTATTGCTTGGCACATGTATAATTCATGATTTGAGTTAGGATTCGTTCGAAAGAAATGGAAAATTTTTGACGTCATAATTGCATTGGGAATAGGCCTGACGGCTTTATTATGAGTTGTTCGATTTTGATCTGGCGTGGATCAGACGTAATACTTACCTAAAAGTTCTCCGGTTTAGCTTAGATCTTTCGATTTTATACAATGGGCCGTATAAAACCGTGTGATGCAGGGGAACGGAGTTCAGTGGTCGGTAACCCCCTTGGATCGCCCATTTATTGACAAGATGATTCATTTTTCTATTACAAACATGGCCTGGTGAGAATCCACGCGGGGAAGCATTAAAATCAAAGCCGGCTCTTTTCCATAAAACACGGTAATGGAAAATTTAATTTTGAGGGAGTTATGCTCGTCTGGCTTTCTATCTGAAGCGGTTTTAATGGCTTTGTCGGATCTGTTCTCCAATGATGAATGAAAGCAAAGTGATGACAGGGTCGGTTGGTTTCAAAACAAATTTAAATTGGTCAAATTCGATAAATTTCCCTTGCCGTGCACTGCTTTAATGTCTATCTTTCCATTTTATTGAATAATAGCTTCATTTTTTATGGTCGTGTAATTTTTAATCAGGTGTTCCACTTCGAACAATAGCATTGGATATAATAGCCTTTGGAATATTCAGAATTCTTCCTGTTCGTCATATATTACTTCTAATGTATTACACCGCAAATTGGTGCTTGATTTTCAACTGTAATTTAGTTATTTTCAATACGGTCACCGATCGACTATCTCGCCCAATAACCATCAAGTCTGGATTCAGAAATTATACATACACACAACAGAATCGCGAGACCCGTTTTTAAAACGATATCCAAAATTGATTCTGTTCTTTGTATTTTTGGCAAATTACAAATTACGTCATAGGTTTTTATAAAGTGATTTTTAGTTTAAAGTTTGTTAAATTATTACTATCAGAAGCAGCTCTGGTAACTTTATACTTTTTTAACACCTCGTTTTAATTTTTTGGCGCAGAAAGTTTCGGAAACCAATATGTCACATTGAACGTATTTCCATTTTCCTGAAGATATTATTAGCCTATTGGTTTACAAATAATGGTGCAGATTTGGACAGATATACACCAATATTACTCAGACGTTCACATTTAGCTGCAAGTGTGACCATATGATATGTTTAAAAAAATTAAAATCTTTCTGGTGAATGGTTGATTTTTTGATAGTGAAATAAATGTTTAAGTTCCACATTTTTTGATAGTTAAATCACAAAATTTCCAAGAAATAAAATCTTTGTTGGTAGCTGTTTCATTTTTATGCGTATTTTCATTTGGAAGATCCGTGCCCTACATGTATACATCTGTATATACCGGGATTAAAAAGGCCCTCCTGTTTAACATAGCTTTTGCACCAAGTCCGATATCCATGTTTCTTTGAAGTACACTTATTATGAAGGATAGAAGTAATCTTCAACTCACAATCTATATTATGTCAACTAATAGCAGGGGGTTGGCATTTACATAAACATAAAACAGTTACGCTTATTTTAAAATGTCTAAATCGTTGGAAAACGACTCTTTGTGGTTTTTAAGCCTTCCTCAAATTATGTTTATACAAAATAGTCTTTCAGACAATTCATAGCAATTAACATAACTGGAAACTTAATATGAGAGTAGAGTAGAAATGGTGAAGATTATATATTACAAGACCAATCCATACTCTTTTCAGACAATCCCAATCTCTTTTGTTATCAAACACCTGAATTTTTCCAATAATATTTTATTATTTATATTGTTTATAATTGCACGGCTTTTGCAGAGCCAAAATTTCCATTACAATGTTTCATTGTCTAAATACCTAAAATACAGATAATAGTAATTGACGTATTAGATTACAACCACCAGAACATACGATATATAAACAAACACTTAATGTTGGCAACCATAGATTTGGGCAAGAAGTATAAAGTTTTGGTAAATAAATTTAAAATTAATGTAGCCGCTTGTAACCCAATAAGGTGATAAAATAGATAGACAATAAAAAAAAGTCAAGTCGGCAAGTTTCCTCTGAGTTCTCTGTAGTCAATTATTTCAAAAATTACGCGGTTTCCTTTTTATTCATGGGAACACTGTTTTTATTTAGTCAAGCGTGGCCAGCGCGGGAGTTTTAATTTTGCGAATTCGGGGGTCAGTCACATTCTCATATGAGTCGAACAGGCTACCGGTACTGCGGTTACTTATTGGATCTGTCCATATATTTGAGCATTGCTCACTTGTTTCTGGTGTGCCTTGCTATTGCTATCGGTGTTCATCGCCTCGTTGCATTTCAACTTGACCCTGTGTGAACGCAGGATAATTTTGTTGCTAAAATACAGAATGGCGGCATGTTAGCGATATCTCCTTGTGGTATATAAATTCAAAACAAGTTAACACCCTACGTTTTACCACTAATTTGATTAACTACCCACAGTTGTCACGATATTTCATTTTCTAACTAAAAAAATCTTGGTCGATACAACAAGACAGGGAAAATAAACGAAGTTGCCCTGTGGTTACTGTTTCGCTTCGATTTTGTCTTTACAATAGTAACGGTATTAAGACAAATTTAGTTGTTATTCTGAGTTGTTAAACATAGAGTTCCATTCCGCAAAATGTTCCGTATTTTAAATCTGCCGAATTCGTAGATGAGTTTATTACTTTACTTACAAGTTTTAACAATGAAACTCTTAAATTTCCTTTTTTATCATCAACTCATCAATTTTATTTTGTTACAGGCAATCAATATTGGAGATTAGAAAACGATCGCGTCGATGACGAATACCCGAAGAATATGGAGGCGTGGCCAGGAGTTCCTGCAGATTTGGATGCTGCTTTCATTGGACCTGGCGAGGACGGTATGTATATATTATGTATTATTTTGTACGTGAGCCTGCAAGCAAATGTCTTTATAAATAACCAGGCCAGCTCCTCCTCATTCGTGGTCGCTGTGGCTGTTCCAGAGCAGTAGCTCTGTAGCTAGTTCAGTTGAATGTTAAACAATCGAGACTCAAACTTCACCACTTCACTCAGAGTCGAATTCATCGGAATAATTCCGCCTATTGTTTAAGTTATGATAGCCTGTACATAGCATGGTTTGCTCTTAAAATGTAAAAATAGCACCAAGATGTTCACTGTTCCATATGTTTGATTTTTGATTTGCCTTTTCTTCCCTAAAGAAGTGAGCTACTTACTCTTCGATACAAAAGAGTTATTACATTCTGTAGTCTCAAACCACCCATCGATATAATCGATGATAATAATCTTAAAGAAATTAAAACTTGACAACGCATTATTTGACGGCCAATAAAATGTGCAGCCGTTGGCTAACGAATATCAGTCATTGAAACAGTAAGACCTAAAAGTTAATCAATCAAAGCAACTCTATGCTTCTGGTCTGATTGCTCGACGTATATAGACAAGATATACGAGATTAGCGATTAGTATCACATTAAAATTCATTCATATTGGTTTGAATATATCATTCGATGCTTTTCGAAATAGTGGTAGAGAACTTATTTTGAGAACATTATTAGTGTATTATTACCGTCACCCACGAGATCCCAAATACAATTTACTTGTACTCCTGAAGTATGCACACCAAGATGTCGCACAACCTAAATCCTAACCTGGTACACAACCTGAGTTCAGGTTGTTTTCTGATTAAAATTAAGCTTGATTTATATCTAAAATTGAAACTAGAATACAATGGAAACACTGTGACAAAAAATTAATCTTTAAGAACTTACATATTTCATATATATTGTACCATTTTAGTTAAATTCGTGCATATATTATCACCATAAACAAAGACGAGAAATAAATTCATTTTTTTTTTCAGGTAAAAATCACACCTATTTTGTCAAGGGCAACAAATACTGGAAGTTCCACGCTCGAGATGTCAAAGTGATAGCTGAATTTGACAACTTTGCTCATGATTGGCTGGGTTGCGAAAACGTCTTGGTACTACCACCGCCCCCTCCAACGGGAGTACCCATACCGGCAATTGCAGCAATTACGGTAGTAATAGTAATGCTATTTCTTGCCGCTATGGGCATATATTTCATGCACTACAGAAGACGGGGATACAAGCACACTCCCTCCACAGCCAGCCTTAACCCTGCTCAGCCACCTTATTATAATTACGTATGCAATATTGAAGAAGAAATAAAAGTCGCAGATAGATCCGCACAGAGGTTTGTGTGGGTACATACTTTAAATCACGGATGGAACAATTTGAAGTTTTCGTTGCAGCAAAAAGTTTGAAAAAAAAAACGAGGGAAGTGCTATAGCGCCATTTATTGATGTCAGAAGGTTCGCGCCAAAGAGTGCATGGTTGGCCTGTAATGTTGATATGCAAACAGAACTGTGAGTCTTACAAAAGCATTAAATGGACAACACATTACACAGGTCGCCAATGGCATTATGAAAGAGCAAAATATACTCTTCTGGCCTCTTAGGCTTAAAAGTGAATTATAACGTATTATTAGTACCAAGAACTTTCTTGTGACGGACTATCCACTTTTCTGTATGTCATTTACTATGTGTAACCACTGTTTCAAACGCACTAGATTATTTACGTATATCCTGTGTAGCACAATTTCATCAATGTTTATAACTATATTTTAGTCAAGGAGCTAACATCGCGATAGCTTTCATTATTTCTTTATCTTTCGGTGCTGAGTAGTCTTCGTATAAATACTCACTTTCAATTGCCTACTAGTTTAGCTCCAAGTTTTAACATTCCTCTGAAACACGAATTAAAATGCTACAACTGTTTATTTTGTATCAGTTGTTGAATTAATTCTAGAGTTGGCAATATAAAAGTCAGCGGCGCGTTCACGAAAATAGTAGCATAATAGAACATTATAATTATTACTGCCTAGAACTGGACATATTTTTTTATATGAATTGTTCCCATTCGTACTACTTCAAAAGTTGTTTTCATTGGAATTCGAACTTGGATTAAATTTCGATCTCCGTTCTTTGGAAGCAGTAATTCTTAATTTTATCGCACGATTTTTTTTTCGAATGCGGATTCCTTTGAGCTTAACTTACTTGAAGTTTTGGGTTTAACGCCCTAAAGTTTTACCGGATAAAGCTTGTCATAAATACAACGGCCTGGCATTGAACAATATATAAAAAAAAACGTAAATTCCTCACAAAAATTGAATTGAAATAGCTTCGTTTTATGCATTTATTTGAAATTTCAGGAGCATTTTTTTGTTAGAAAACTGAACAACAATTTTTCAACAATTTTCAACGTTCTACCAATGCCGCTCATCCTCTTTTGTGCGTATGAGATTTAAGAATAGCCAAGCAAACTGCAGTTTTAGCTTTAAAAGCTCGTTTGTATTTTGTTACCGTGATATACAACGTTATGTCACTGTATTGATCTCTATTGCAAAAAGTACTGTTTTCATATTTTGATTTGTTTTCAGTTTAAAATAAAAACTCGAAACCGAACCATATTCTGCAAAGTTACATTTATTCGACATTTGTTTATTAAGTGCCGTATTTTGTCATTTTTGCTTTATTTATTAAATTTTCTTAATATTTCTGTATCATTTTTATGTTTTCCATCTGAGTAAAAAAACTTTTGCTACTCCGCGTGACTTATACCGAGTTCATTTTCTTATATAATATCGTTGGTATTGCAGAGTAGGCCATAACATGCCACTTTCTTCATCATAAACTTTTACTTGGTTTACCTGGCCATAAAGAACCTTATAAAAGTATCAGTATTAATCTTTCAATTTGCTATTTTGACTAGATTCCAACAGCACTGAGTAATAAATTTGAGGAAAAACTCCATTTCGTGTCAATTGTGAATAGTATTTCTACATTCGTGTTACAGTCGCAGATTCATTAATAACAGCACTGGTCAAACGTTATGAGCGAATCATGAACTCAGTTCAACATAATTGAGCTACGGTATGGTACAGCAATTGCCCTACACCTCAACCCGCCTCGAAATTTCTAAATCGAAGTGTGACACCACACTTTAAATTCCTAACTTGAATATAATTGTAGTTGAATATCCAGAAAGTGGCGCATATACATGTACAGATTGTCAGTCAAATACATAACACATTATTATGAGTTACAAATAGTTTTATCGCTAATAGCAAAATATTTACCTCGAAGTGATATATAATCAATTATACAGTATGTTTATACTTCCCGTTTTAGGCGGGACAGTCCCACTTTTGAACGTCTTGTCCCGGCGCCCCTACCTGTCAGCCAGAAGTCCCGCTTAGGCGTTCATCCAGTCAGCAATCAGCATAATACACGAACATTTTTAATTAGCAAGTTTTCGATACCGGTACTGTTGTTGCTGTGTAGCGTACCGGTAGCTAACTTACTGAAGGTGGGGGCGTGGTTTTATTCGTTCGTTGTTTTCCGCTAACAATTTGTTACGTGTAAGCCCCGTACGCCAAAAGGGTGCTCAACGTAAATTCCTTTCTATTTTTCGAACTGAAACTGATATGTAGACAGACAGCGCATGAACTCTCGATGACAACATGGTCAAGAAGACAACCGGGGTGGTATTCAATGTAGGCCCCTAATGTTAACTCGGTAAATTTGAAGTTGAAAGAATCACAGCTACGGTCTTTGAAGGCGTCCCACTTTGGGGTCACAAAAATATGGTAACTCTAAGTATGTTACGTCCACCAGTGTGAAACAGATGGAACGTGAATATCTAGCATCGTTCAAAGGTTTCGAACACACTTCAAAGTATGATTGGAATTACTAAGAAACAAATTAAAAACCAGATTTAATTTACTGTTCATACTATAATCCTAATCGATTAAAGTTGTGATTACACGTGGTAAATTTATTCCACGCCGTGAGATATCGACGTTAATCTTTTCCTTGACAACAAAGCGGTAACCAAGTCAGGCGCAATTTATATTTTCTCTCCCACTCGTGTAATTTCCGCTTGAACAAACTAAAACGGATATTCTGATTAAACTAATTAGTCCAGACGCAAATAAGTGACCGTCGATCACGCACAAGCAAATGTCGCTGGTAGGTCTTTGCGTCGTTTCGCGTTGGTGCTAACGTTAGTCATCAGCTGACGTGTTAGTCAGAGCTTAGTCACGATTAAATGAGCTGCAGCTGGACTCTGTCTGATTTATGTATGATTCAAATTTGCAGAAAACTGAAAAATGAGCAAAGCACTTTCCCTAGAATATGTAAATAATTAAATATCAAACAGATGCAGGCTGGTGATGATGCTGGGATGTTTATCGCTGATGTTAGGATCGGTAATGTTTCGGATACAAATTTTCACAGCGGAGAAGGTGATGGAAACACAACATACATCCCCAAGGAAGAAAGAAAATTGACTTCAGAAGATAATTTCCCTGGAAATTTTGGATTATATTTGGCCGTCATTATCTTCTGCATGATAATCATTGGAGTACCTATGGGCCTCATAGCTTACAGAAGGTATGTCTTTATAAATCATTACCGATAAAGCATTGTGTTTTATAAATAAAGAGCACTTGAAGGGTATTGCTGATAAATTGTTTTTACGAGTATTTGCTCAAAGCAATGCATTAACTCAAAAGCGAAGGAAACATACCAAGGAGCTCAATGGCGTATGAAGCGTCAGCATACCTGTTAACATGAAACTTGGATCGGACCTCCTGAAGTGTGCGCACCAAGATACCAGATTAGGGTTCAGGTTATGCGACATCTTGGTGCGCATACTTCAGGAGTACCCTTGAAGCAATTAGGTGGTGTGATCTCTAGTCCAAGAGGCACACATCCCCATAGGGTGCCATGGAACACACAGAAACTTTGCAAAATGAAAATATTAACCTTCTAGTGATCCAAACTATAGTTAAAATATCCAATCTCCATGGAAGAATTTCGATTGATATGATACATGGATATTTGGTGGGTGGATATTAATTCCAAGAACACTAAAAAACTTGGAAATAATTATTTTCCTAATACACAAGCAAAATATCGACAAAACTAATAGTCGTAATCCATATATTGATCACATATAAGAAATCTTACATAAATGCTATCGATTCATAAAATCATTTTTCACCGGCGTATTGATATGTATCCCGACGATACGCTGACTGGTAATATGCTTTTATAGTTTATTACAACAGCAATAACTTCATCTAGAACCTATTACACTGTATTGCTCTGAAATTACATATGTACAAAGAAAAAACGCTGTTGGGTCCGAATTCGAACACCGTGGTCTCGCGCCGTCAATGTAACAACAACTTCTTGTCAAAATAATCGACGAAAATCTCGCGCGGTCTGTAATTTTTTAAATTTTGGATATTCTTTGTACAAATTAAACAAAAATTCTGCCAGATAACAGTGCACCACCTATATAGTGAGTCTTTACTCTGTCTCGTTTCATTATTAAAAAACGGGCGTTCGTACAATCCAGGATTTCATAGTTTTCTTACGGGAGCGCAGAGCTTTTGAGATGCCTCAATTACATGACGATTCGAAACCTCTCGCGCAGTTACCAATCTTTGTCAATTATGAGAATTAGGTATTTTTACCAGACACATGGCTGTACAGCAGCGAGTCTCATTAATATTTTGTCAGACCCTGCAAACTGCTTGTGCCTTACTCTTAGCACGATTCGATTAGCACTGAGATGTGTAGACATACATATACCGGTATATAATAATACATGCCTGAAATAAATACTTGTTTCTTATTGATGCAAATAACCCTTGACGTGGTCATGTTATAACGCTATGTATTTTTTATCGTTGGGCATTATTTATTTGCTGCCCTGCAATGCGGATATTTAAACTGAAAAGTTGGTTATCGTAATTCGTAACCATTTTCATAGCCGATTATTCCATTTTATATAGTAGCATTGGATCAGGGACTGACCACATTTTACCTCAGAAAAAATAATGAGACAAACAAAAGCGTAGTGGCAATTTGTGCCCATAATCTCTTTCATATATATGCCCTTAAATCTTATAGAAATTGTATAAAAGGGTCCTTTTCAAAATAGAATTAATTTTGCAGGAAGCTGTTGATGGCGGAATCAAAACGAATGAAACGACTTGCAACAATTCGTATACCCCGAGGTAATTATGTTTCGCCACAAGATGTAGTTTTTTTGAAAGAGCAAACTCAATTAATTTGACTGCAGAACAGTGACGGTGGAATTTGATGACAAATATTTCTCATGGTAGAATTTGTCTTCATCCTCTGACATAAACGTGTGGAATTACATGCGTACCACTTGATATACATTAACTAAATCCTATATACCGTCATTCAATTGGGACGTTTGAAGCATGTCTTGCACCTATCTATTAACCCTTATGCAAGATTCACGAGTTATGGAGCATTTCACTGATGTCGAATTTCAGTTGTTGGTTCATTTCAAGTTAAATGAAAGCTATTATTCCTCAGCACATTACATCCATTCAATATTACCTCTCTTGAATTTTGTCTTCTTGAATTTTCCTATCTGAAGGATTGAAAGACCTTTAATCAGGCAAATCGATTTATTTTTATTTCGTTTCAATTAAGTACAATGAAAAGGACTGCAAATCACGTTAGTTTACAAGCGGATTAATAATTTGAGCCTTCGTATTATAAAATTGGACAGTGGAATAAAACCAGTGGCGTAGAGAAAGGTTGGCAAAACGCAAGTCCAACGCCTTCAAGCAAAATGTTCTGAAATCAAAAGACATTGTTTAATTTCTTGGAGGAGAGAAATGTTTCTCAATAACATAGCAGCAGCATTCCTGTTTTAAGCCACTTTCTAACAACCCGTGATGTTTGACATTTCAAAATATGTTATCAATAATGGTGCAGCTAATTAGAAATCAAGTACACATGAAAAATATGTTATAACATGTGGATTGTTCCTTTTTTTGACGGCATACTGATCATCAACCAAAATGCACTTGTAAATTGTAATACTTAATGAGCATCACTATTCTCCCACACAACTGTATAAATGTTCAGGTCAGGAGATACGTATCGCGAAATGCCACCAGTTTATGTTTCTTTATGTTCAATTGTTTACATAAATCCAAGATGTGTCTTAACTGATCACTGCAGCCACCCAAATATGATCAATGTTAGGCTCATGATAGTGAAAAGGATTCCAAATACCACGAGGCAAATGCACTAAAAAGAATAAACGCGTTGTTAGAATCTATCTGAAATGTCTCTATTTTGCCTCAAAATATGCTATGAAACTGCTATATAACAAGTTGTTTGCTATTAAATTATCAAGTTTTGAGTGATTCCACAAACTATTTTTGTTTGCATACACGTAGTAATGCTTTTGGTGTATTCTGATGAGATGCGAAATAGGAGAGATCTCAGTGCCCATCCCTGGCTGAATCCAAACCCACTACACCGCCAAGCGTGTAACTAAATACGGTTACCCGTACTCCTGTAGTATTCGAACCAAGATGGTGGACACCGGAACGTAGTATGTGTACCGGGTTAGGGTTGGGCCATAATTTTATTCCAATTTTCCTTATTTTAGATCTATTACGAAGGGACTAGCCAAGTGACTCCCGTAGTATTTGTACCTGAAATTATGGCCTAAGCCTAACCTGGTACACATACCACGTTCCGGTGTCCGCCATCTTGGTTCACATACTACGAGTACCCGGTTGCCAACCTGATATCATTACTCTAATACCCAATAGAGATCACTGTGTGAATGCCGGACAAATATATCTTAAAAAAATATTCAGATGTCTAAAAATAAGGCAATGTCTTACCGAAATTTTCTTGAATGAACAAGTCGGATCCAACCCCAGCTTTATGTAGAATAAAGATGGCAGAATGATAACAAGCATAGATGCAGAAGTTGCGCCGATAAATCCGAAAACCTCACGTATAGTTGGGACGTAAATAACGAGAATATCGGCTGAAATGAAAATTGATGTTGGTTGCTCAAATGATATCAAGTACTTACGCCTGAGATGTTGAACTTATGTACATAAAAATAAAATGTTTAAAATTCAATGTTTTTCTCAGGATTTTTTTATGGCATGAACAATGTCGCAAATATTTACTTTACAGGCCCTGCTACCAGAAGCGTGAATTTGATCCACGAACTTTGGGATTGTAGAAGTATTTACTTCTCCCAGTTCGGTACAAATACAAATTTGATGAACATCAAATCTGTTTTCAAAAATGGTTAGATTGTGAATCTAGATCGACAAAAATTGTGTTTCGTAGTAGAAAATGTCAACAGTATTTTGCACTTACTTAGTGATAGCAGAACAACCATAATGCCGAGGTGGCGAATCCATGAGAACTCGTATTTTGAGAAGAATAAATTTTCGATTGATCGCCGAGACTGCAAAATACATAATAGTAAAATTCGGTTATTAATGAAAACGCTTTACAAATCCGAAAATCAATATCCGAAGCTTATATCTCGTTTTTGTTAGGATTAGTTTTTTTCAAAAATAAAATCGCCTTGTGGCCTACAACATCCTGATTTCTAAACATCGCTTGCGAAAGAGTTGGATATAAAATAGATCGAAAACATTGCAAAAAGTTGTGAAATTACGGTTGTAAACTCTCAATTTAACTATTGTACGAACCGGAAAGTGTAGCAATGGAGTCGAAAATATGACACAAATCAGAACCATAATTCTAGCAAGAAGTATAACGATGTTGTCCGGGTCGTAATAACTGTACATTAGCAGCAATTCGGGTCCAACAGCAGCTGAAACAAAACAAAAGTTCAGAAATCGAGAATTGTGTTCCAGAGCTTCGCGAACAAATACGTGTCTCACATTGTTGGCCCAATCGTCACATTTTCCAGGGAACAAAACTGCTTTAAAGTTTAAAAAAATTTCAGTCATTCATTTTATTCAAGAAATAGACCTTTTCATGTAAATCGTTCTCAAATCTAGCAAAATGTACGGCGCCAAAGTCACACATATGCAAAGTTTTAAGCTAGCAATTCCGTGCAGCCATTTCAATATTTTGTTCAGTGTGTCAGTTTTCGTGTTGAGCTATTGGTCACCAGTAACGGTGGGTGTGCCATGTGAGGAAACACTACCCGCTATTGTATAGTATTAAATTACAATGATAGTAAATGTTTTCAAGAAGTTTCACACACAAACATACATGTTGGAATGGCTTTTTCCAAAAACATAAGTCCGTTTTATCTGTTTGACATTTCCTAGAACGTAAGGTATTGTTCGAGAGAAACTTCGTGTTAAAATAAAAAATACTTACTGAAGAATGTGAGGTAGCCAAACAATGAAGCAATAAAATAAAGAAGAAATATGTTAGTAATTGATACGATTGATACGAGTTGCATTCTTGTCTTTGTTGGATTGGTCAATTCAAGATATATAGGAAGAACTGATGCGTGACATTGGAAAGCAAAAACCATTGTTGGAACTGCGTATGCACTCTGGAAAAAATAATAAAAAAACAAAATACTTTGAAAAGTTTCATGCATGACTATAGTTGTTTAAACTTTTCACTAAGCCATAAAGGACACTTGTCATGTATTTTCGGGAATAATTGGTAATAAATCTTTCACGTTTGATACTTTTTGGGTAAACGCAAACTAGCAATATAACATATTAGGACATAATATATTTATGAAAATGAACATACCGATAACGCTACAGACTGGTAACGTTAAATGACAAAATATGTTTTATGAGAGTATAACCTATCCCTGAACGGCCTATCAAGTTAATAATATTAAATGGTGTATTCATATTCTCTTAAAAGAGTATGTCAGAAGAACGCCAATAAGCTGTTCAATAACTCCCCAAACGACTGCGAGAGATGAACAATACCAACCAGTTCAATGATCCTTATATTTAGAAGTGCATGGCATTAAATATACATATATTTTCTATACTGTACGTACTCGTAAATATAGTTCGTCGTACTCGAAAAGACAAACATATTTACATAATTACAGATTCAACATTGTGTTCGGGTAAAGATTGATAATTTACAATGCACACTGCAAACAAGATTAGATTTTAAAACAAACTCAAAAGCTGATGTTAAACAAATTTGCGCATCAGGGATTCGATTTATCATGTCGTAGATGTATGTTGATTTCATATATTCAATCGAAAATATTTGTTCATTTCCTATTTGATTGATTTGGATACGCCCCTGTTCAAATCTACGCTACAGATAAATACAAATCATAACATTCCAAGCGGACTTTGCACAAAGATGCGTTTGATTTCATCACAAATAGAGTTTCTTATTTGAATACTCATTTTCTCCATCGCTTACTAGTAAAATTGTCGTTACGATCATGTCGTCGGATCCTCAATGTCACACGATATAAGAATACCATACTGCTTTAAACGCTATAAGAGGCAATTGACCATAAAAAATAAATACTGTCAGTAAATGATACTTCTCTTACCTTCAAACTGATTACAAATGGTTCTGGTTCACATTGTTGTTGTTCCAACGCTTCTTCCAATTCCTGAGTTAGGGCACTCTTGTGAACACACTCTGTAGATTCGTTATGAACGCCAGCGGGTTCGACTGTAGGATTATTATTAGTCGATGCAATCGCCATTGCAACTGTATTGGTATAATTATCAATATGCTCCGGGATTTGAACTGTAAAAAATACGAATACATTGTCAGTATAAACTTTAATAATCGTCCGCCATAATACCATATGAAAAGATTTACTGATTAGCTATTTCATCACAGTCATATTCCAACACTGGGCCTAATCCAATATAGATTCATTAGCAGGCGTGGTTCGCCACGTGATAATGTAATCCTGCGGCCCTATTCTGGTCAGGATAAAAAACTTATTCCAAAGAAAGTTGATGCTAACAGAAATTAAAAAGAATTAGAAATGTGTACAATATTGCCACTGGACTTTATTTGCACAGAGACGGATGGTGTTTATTACACAGAAATCAGGATTCGGTGCTTACTTAAATGATATTCTTCGTGATGCACTGTTGAATTCATCCCATATATCGGACAAGGTATGATGAACTTTTCTATCACAATCTAAAGAGAATTATTAAGGATATAAAATAGTATAATTTTTGAATCATAAAAAAACGAATAATATGCAAACATACCACGACGGTAAAGAATATCATACAAGCCATGGCAAATCCGCTTGTATATCCAAGGAATCCAATATTTTTTGCAGCAGAAAGTGGCATGATAATCACTAACGTTACGAGGATGACAATATAATCACCGTTCAAATACCAGGCACTAAAATAAAATAAAAAGTTAAAAATAAGTTTGAAACCTCAATTTAGAGTAATAGCTACGTGAAATGTGCAGCTTAGGTGAACGTAATGAATTGGACTTTTCTTTTTGGTATAAATAGTCAGCACTCAGCAGTACGATATATATCAGATTAAAAGATTTCTACCCTGCCATGTGACCACAAAGTAAGGCACTCTGGAATAGACTGCTGTTTTCAGACAGTGTTTCGCTCGACCAGGGGCGCTCGCAGCCATGTTCGAGGAATCACAAGCATGTGTTTCTACGCAAAGCAACTGGAAATTGAGCGAATTAAAAACTATAAGGTCAGAGTTTTACCACTTGCATAAATATATTAAATAAGTTCGAAACAAAACTACAATTTCGTTATATATACCGAAGAAATTTCAACAATTCGATATTTTTTGCACATTTTTTAACAAGTTTAGTAAATAAAGCATAAGCCTACAATATCTAAAACAGTGATCATTTCACAGTGAATTATCCCACCTTGAGCATTCTTCGGCTCCAGTCAGGGTTCTTAGTACCTCTGGTAATTCGTATTTAACAATAAAGAGGAAGCTGCACATTGCTGAAAACAATGAACCAGATTGAAGCAAATACTTCACAATATGGTAGAACACAATGCGATATCTTACATGCCATCTTTATTTTTAATTAACATACGGTAATATACGTTTAGCAAGTTAAAATGCCAGTTTGGAGAATTGTCATTCGATAATCATACTTTTTACGGTTATATAGACCAGTTTTCATTGCCTTTTTTGTATTCTTAAGAATCTCTCAAGGGATGTTCTGTATAAAAATGTATTTTTTAATTGAAATCGGCATCAGCTCCCCTCAGAATGACACAGTCTAATCTCGTGCCAGCTTAGGATATAAGAGAGATTTATTATTTATAAGAATTGGCGCTTTCCCGTTTTAGACGATCAACCCAATCTCCACTGACTCGAATAAAGCCGTTTGCTTCAACGAATAAATTAACAGCATGGCTACTACAAATTTGCAACGATTTTTAATAGCTATATCGGCCTTAATTGTAATACTGATTACTTCCTATGAGAAAAATTTGGCACACCTCCTAATGTATGAGTCAGAATACTCAATACTGTGACAATTTTTCCACCTTCACCAAATGCTTGCCTTCCAATTGCCTCGTAAGATGTGATGCCCGTCAAATCACACATGTCCAACAACAGTCGAATACTGTTGAATGCCAGTAAAGCTACAAGAACTAGCAAAACCCTGAAAGTTGAACAAAAACAAATTTTGTGGAATGTAAAGATCCAAAATAGCTTCAATATTTTTAATAAAATAGATATGTAAGTTATATATTTAATCCTCTGCAAAACGATTGATTGCACTTCGTCTTCGAATGAAAACTCTAGCAATCAATAAAAGGACGTAACAATAATCATTGTGTTTTTATTCAGATTGAAAAAATTATTTCAATATATGCACTGAAACCTGGAATCTTATTTAAAAAAGTAGTGCGAACAATCTGAGTCACCAGTGGGCTCATCTCTATGTACGTTCTGGCTACAAACTTTTGCTATCATGTTAGCTTACGTGAAAAGAATGTATCCTAAATTTGTCATCGCATTTGCAAGTCCGAGAATGCCGCTTCCCAAAATTGCATTCATCAAGTTGAAGACACATAGTGCAAAATGAGCAGTTTTCCCTTCGTATTGACTTGCACGGCGTACCTTTAGATACTGGACCTGTTCTAGGGTTGGACGCCTGCCAGGCCTATAAAAAGACAAGAGTCTTAGAAAAATATTAGTATATATATATATACATAGTCTTGTATGATATAAGAAACAGATTGAAAACGTTGACTATCGAATTTATTGGTTTCTAGCCTTGGTAAAAGATTCCATGGTGAAGTGGGATGTAGAGGGTGCGGTAATGTAACGTGACATGAGATGAAAAATAGCATCAGATACAAACTTCTATAGTGCACTAATCCATTGCAAAAGCCAATTGGCGTAACTGTACACAATTTATCACCATATATGGATTCAAATGTAGATTCACGCAGCAGTTAACACAAAGGCTATATCAATATATTTATAATTTGCAAAATGTTTGTTCCTGCTTGGGAGCGTACAAGTTCAAACTTACTTCAATTCAACCATTTCCGAAGATTTCCTATCCATGATATTATCCTTCTCTTTGTTTGAGCTAACTAGTACTCTCGCTCCTGCATGTGAAAACAACTGATAAAACAAAAATATGTTATTTTGAACTCAGTCATATCATCAAAATTTAATCTTTCGTCACCTATGCATGTGATAGGTATGACGAAGAAGGGATATGCAAATTTTTGACTGTTCTGACAATCCCAGTCACGAGTTTTGAAGGTAGGATTGACAAACGTCCTATGTTTGGCAGTTATATTTATCGGTTCCATTACATTTGAACCCACGACAATTGCACCTGCATACTATTGCACCTATGGAATTTTTTTTTGTTTCACGGATATTTGAACCCATACTAACCCTAACCCATGGATTTTAGCACCCACATATAGATTGAACCCGCGGATATACACATGGGTTCCAATGTACGGTCTCCATATTTACCAACTGAAATCTGTATCACATTCCTAATTTCATTCCAAAAACGCTGCGGCGTAACGTAATATTGCCTGCTCTGGGAAATGCCTTCCTTCGTATCGTCTGAAGGGAATGCTTGCGTAAGCAAATTGCTACGTCGACAGTTCAGTCGTGTTTGGTACTGACTGTGTTGCATTGTGTTTCAATTGTAATCTTGTTAATCGTTAACAATATGTTTGTTAACGTGGCTGCAAACCAGCAGGCACTAAAATTAGTCCTTAATTGTTCACAGGTGGAATAGAGCGATATTCATATTTATTCAGTTATACGATATTTGGTAGCCTCATACACAAGGGCCATCTATCTATAAGCCTGTTGATTTTACACATTGGATAGGTGGATACCATATGGAAACCAATTTCGCTGTCATTCACAATCAACATTTTATTAATTAGTGCACCGCACACTGTTCGATTACACAAAAGCAAAATAATTGTAGTTAAGTATCCCAGAGTATTATAATATATAATTATATATACATATAGATCTTTCAACTGAAAAGGCCCCATTCACAATTCTATTTGCATAACATTAAAAAAATTAAATTGCGCAAATTTCTGCTTTCGCAAAACTGCATTCTTGCACAGGAGTGGACTCTCGAAAAACTAAAATTTTTCATAACAATGCCTAGTCAGCAACAAAAGAACGGTGACCCAACAACTGAACGTTTATTAGTCGGCCGGACACTTTCACTCTCGTGGATTTTCAAGCTTAAATGTCAATATTGGCTTCTTTTACTTTTAGTTATGTGTCGTAAAATTGGGTATAAATGAGAAAACCAACCGTAATTTTGTCTCCGGAAGCGTTTCAGTTTAGTTGCGGTAACTAAAAAAGGTACTGAAAAAAATGGGACAGACTTAGCTAAAAATAGCTGACAGTACTTTTTCATGAAACGGCTTGAATAATATGTAATAAATTGTGATTTTGAATATGTATATCTGTTTACACGTGTAACCCGCTGAAACATTATAGAAATAAGCACGAAAAATGTTGCAATGGTGTAGTATAGGAAGAATTTCTATAGGGTCAAGAGCCGGGAAAACAACTCGTCCTGGTAGCGATCAAAAGTAAAATTCCGTGTACAGGGCTAAATTCAATAATTAAAATTCAATTTAAAGAACTTATTTTCATAAGCTCGCAAAGCTTACACCTTGCAGGGACAGTTTCAACATTGGCGTGCCATTGAATTTTTAACGACGACTGGCAAAGCAGACACCAAATGTTTTGCTTGGCCAAAACCCCGTTAATCCGCCACGCAACGTAGATGTACTGCATTTGAATGGACCATTGGAGTCACTAAGGCTCGAACTACAGATTTAAAGCAATTTTGCCTGGGCCTAGACAGATCTTTAGATACATTTTAACCGATAATTACACCATATAGGGTATCATTTATCCTTGCAAGTACACTAATCTAAAATGAGAAAACAGTGCCCAAATGTTCTGCCCATACGTCGAATATTTCTTTAACTTTCTCTACCCTAAAATCATACTTCAATAATTTCATAGGTACTTCAGTGAGCACATTCAATCGAGTGGTAACACGAACTTTGCGTCATATATACAATATGAAATTACCACAATCCATCCTCAATAACTACACGTCTACACGCCCACATCAGTTCCCCATTTCATTGTATTGTTATTTTCGTCTTTTCGTGAAACATACGCCCGGGTGATTTGAAAGAGACGTTCGCCTTCATGAATAAACGAATAAATACAAATGGCTTTGAATGCCTCGGTCCGTTTTACAGAACTGATTGTAACCCGCTTACTCTGTTACTTACATTTAAAGATTGTTTTGAGGGCGATATCAGTTCCCTATTATTACTCATTTAAATATATACAAACAACACAAGTTGAGCGCAAAGTGTAACGTATTTACGTGACTTTGTAATCTTGCACTATTTCAGTATTTGATTTTCAATTTTTTATAACTTAATAACCCTCATTTCGAAAACTACCTTTCTGATTGCCAAGCCTGATTTTGTAATTAATTTTGTCCAAACGGCCTGGCCTGGTCGATATTCAGACAATGCGTTATTCGCCTTCATTGTTCGGCCAACCGATGTGGAGATGGAAAATACAATGAAAGTTGACGACCCTAGGGGGTCACAGAAGACGAAATATAAATGAAAAGCTGTTAGGAGAAAATTCAATGATACAATCGGTAGACGAGATTTTCCCGGTGTGAATACTTTGACTCATGCCGTCCATCCACTTAGTTTTCCAACTTGACAAGACTACCCTGTATTATAAATACTCGATATATCAAGTTCATGCATTTGAAAACAAAATAACTGACCCGATACCCGACATGGACTGGCAACCAGACGAGAAGCCGTGGTTCGACATATGATTGAGCCATCTTATATATTTTGTCATTGCGAAATTTTTATGCTCACATTGAGAGTAATATTTGCGAGTGGACTAGTGATTCTTAAATTTTAGACGGAAGATTATTAAAAACTGACAAATGACATTCAAAACTACCACAACGAGTCGATGTTTATTACCGTGCCTGCAGATTTCGGAGCGGTTTCTCAAATTTCAATTGTTACTTCATGCTCGATTCATCGATGATTGGTCATTGTCATAAAGGAAAACAACATTCATAGATAGCAAAATTTAGCAATGTGTAAATTTGAAATGAGTCTTCTTAGGATATCGGAGCCCTTGTTTTCGAATTAGTTCAAAACTTTTCAGACATCTGATAGAAGAGAAATTATCAAGTACTTGCAAACAGCCAACGTCTTGTGCACAAAACTTTATTTATATCGAAATACTTTTAAAACTGGGCTTTCCGAATAGGTCGAAGCCTGCAGAAAATTAAAAAACATTCTTGGTTGACTCTATCTGACACCGTACAAATTCAAGAAGCAATCTTCAAAAAACCATGGCCTTTGTACGCTGTTAATAAGTGGGCCCATTTCGTAGTCTCCTAAAATAATAGCCTCATAACCCGGAGTCCAGCATCATCAGTCTTAGCAAATTTGAAATTCGAATTTTTGCACTCCCAAGTAATGGACAATGATCACTGTTAAAGTAGCATGCTGCTTTATTTAACTTCATTCCATTATTCTCGCCCAGCACCAAATTAAACAATCTCAATCCTTTCTTTGTTCTAGGATATCATATTATTTAATTATCTTATTGTTTTTATTTTATTATCAGCACTAAATCGAACAATCCTAACCCTTTCTTCATCCCAGGATACCATATTTTATTATTATTTTTATTTTAATTCAATTTGGAAATTCCATGACATGGCAAAATGATATTCTTTATAATTTATTGTTCTCTATTTCAATATATCATGATAGGTTTTATGGAAATGCAACCTGAATATCCTTTTTTTTGAATCCTGATCTTTTTTTAGCGGTATTCAGAACTATAAAATACAGAGTACCTTGAAAAAGCGTATAACTTGACAGAACTTATTACATTGCATTTCCCCAAGCCTGGAAGGAACGCATTTTTGCTAGATTAGCCATTTATTACTTAAGAAACTCACCCTGAGTGGTAGGCTACATACCATATATGCACATTCTCCTATAAACTTGACTATTTCTCCCATTTATAGTATGTGGTATCATTATTCGAGGGTGCTATATGTCCAAATTTTATTCTTATGTATATATATTATGTATTATATTTCATGTTGTATTGTCTCTATTTATTGATGTTGTCTTGTCCTACCAACTCCTTTGTACAAACAGTTGGGCATACTCCACCGTTACCCATGTTGCCTAATCCACCCTCCTCGCACAACTGTCTGTATGAAGGACCATATTATACTTATTCGATTTATTGCATTGTATGCTTATCATAAAGGGTGTATGCCGCGCGTTCATGTGTTTTAAGCCAGTATGGTCTTGTGTATACATCCCGTCTTCAATGTTGATATTTACTAACTCCTGTGTTTTTGCTTTTACGAGACGAATAAACATACATACATTGCTGCTGTTGCGAGTCACAAACTGGGCTGGTATTTTCAAATACCGGATGATTTCGCATTTGATCGAATATTTTTTCGAATTGAATACTTAAGGAAGATTTGTAACTAGACTACTGGAGACTATTTAATAATTCGAAGATGAATCACACTGGCATTTAGACTTCATTTTGCGTTTAGTCCAGTCACCATCTTTGTAGAGTCTTTCAGTTTAAGATGGGTGACAAAAGGTTGAATTGAATCAATCACTCTAATCTGCCAACATTGGTCACTTTCAGACCTGCTAGCTGATTGAAGCAAAGACAACCATAGCACTGATAACAGCATTAATATGAACCCATGAATATTCCTTTATATACAAATAGTGCATGGTTATTAAAATCCTTTTATTTCCTTTTTATGTATGATTGATAGAGTACAATACACTGCCTATCTATTCCGTAGGTCAGAAAATGAAGCAAATTTCAGGACTGCTCCCATCGCCCAAAATGCTTTTGGGCTTTGCTATCTACTTGTGCAAACGATTGTTAATCAGCCCATCCTATAATATTCTTCGAATATTAGCACAAGCAACAGTTGTTTGCAACAATTTTTCCTCATGAAATTCTCCTCAATCTCAGGACTCTTCTCTTCGTAACCTCAACACAGCTTGATTTACAACATCACTCATGATGTCAGGATTGAGTAGTTCCTTGATCTGAATAGCAGAAAATTTACCAGAGTACTAATCAAAGATACTTAAATATACTCATGCATGCCACTTAAATATATTATTTATATATGCGATTGAAATGCTCGACACAAACAGGGTTGGCATCCCATACACTTACACGACAATTATGACAAAGTGAGTGTAAAAATAAGTTCGTTGCAGAACGGGTGGGAAATTGGACAGGAGGAAGACTGCCCTTTTGGTGACCTCTGCACTGAATCATGGTCACTTACCTACCTATTCCATTTATGCATCATCCCCCGCAGGACAGTGTAATTGATATGATTTACAAACAACAAACCTGATGACTGAGTGAAACATCATAGGTGTACATTATACTTGTATCATAAAGTTGTATATTATGTTGTGCAAGACATTTTATACAATTCCGAAGTCTACAAATAACTTCTCTATCTTCTAATGCCACTGGTTCAACATCTGCAACAAATCCGCCATGACCTATAAAACAATAATTGTTGCAAAGCATTTGAAGAAATAACTGGCAGCAAATATGATTCTTGCTCTTGGCCAGGATTAGCGCAGAGCAAAATCAGTTGATTCTATGATAAATTCAAAGAATGTCAATGCTTTGCTATCTCTTGTTTGGATTCAGAAACAAATTTGCGCAAATCTGAGGTTAGTATCAGAGTCTAAACGACTGGTTCTGAAGACCCTCAACATAATATAACACAATCAACATGTGTTATATGCAACGCAGCTTAATATAAAACACCTGCAAACGAACGAAACCGCCAATTGACTCTAAATAATTGTAGCCACCTAGTGGGCTGAGAGCCATTTTTTGCAAAACCAGGATCAAGATTATCTACTCAAAGCCGGGAGCAAATTTAGAATGAATTAGAGTAAGATGTAACATGATAAGAGCGTGATATTACGAGCTTCACAAAGTCTCCTCAGCATTACAAAATAAATGAATTCACAAAACTCTGATAATTTTTGTAAGATTGAATAAGTTTAGTAACTGAACATTCGATTCAAACCAGTCATTCAACGATTCTTCAAACCAACCTTTATCCATTTCCTCGTTATCAGTAGCAGGTGTTGCATAAATCCAAATAAAGCCATTATTTGCAAGAACAACAGTAGCACCACATGGTAAATTGTGAATATGATTTTTCCTTCTTTTTACCAATGATGGAGAAACTACAACTAAACAACCTTGCCCCAATTTCCCATATCTCAGACTCCTTGTATGTAGTGAAAGAGATCCATCATTATGCACCTAAGCCACATTAAAAAAAAAATTGACAGTATATTCACTGTAAATGACAAAAACATACGACACTGAGTTGAATAGATTTGTGAATGATGATAAACTGTATTGCTTACATTGATACATAACAAGTTTCATGAATAAACTCATACATGTTTTGCTCATAAGAACTGCTATTCAGTATGCCAATGTCCAGATAAGAGAAAAAGTTCATTTTCATACATTGGACACCAGTAAAGATAGTAAAACTAAGATTTAAGTGGTTGATGAATGATTTCAACTTGTTAAGCTAATGTCAGTGCAAATATATTTCTTATTTCGGCGCGGCGGTGTGGCTCAACGGGCTAAGCGTTAGGAATACGCTCGCCACCGCACCTCTAATTACTTTGCGTGGGTTCGCAGGTTCGAATCTCATGCAGGGATGATTATGTGCGAGAGGATTGCTGGACTCCTCGCCGTCGTTGGGTGGTTCACGTAACCGCTGGTCGGTTACGGCTTCCTCCACCATCAAGTCCATGCTTCCGAAAACAAAACAATATAACTAATCCCATACCCGACTTGGAATGGTAACCGGACGAGAGGCCGTGGTTCGCCATATGGATAAGCCGTCTTATCGACTTTCCTCTCCCCCGGGATGAATATGTAAATCCTATCCTATCCTATTCATAAATCCGAAACTAATACCCCATATGGATATAGCCGGCATGCCACAAATACATGACTTATGTGCGAGTCATAGTTTCCCTTGACATTTCCATAGTAGCCAACGACTCCATTCAAAAGTGACATCTTTACCTTTTGAGTGAGTGTGCACGATCCTGGTTTGAGCAATATTTCAAAAATGAACACAAATAATAAAGATGGTACCAACCTGTTGAACTTCAGCACTGATCAGATCTCCTTCTTTCAAATATTCTCTCATTGTTAGTTGATCAGCAGCTGATCTTCTTCTCAGTTCACCGCCAGGCAAATTAACAAATGAAAGATGTAAAACCGAATCTACTCTGGAATTGGTGTTCACCTGAAAATAGAGAGGGCAGTGGTAAAATACACATATTTAAATAAACAACTTTTTAACTTTTTTTTCCCTTGCGTCTATTTGTTTGCACAGGTATTCAGGCAAGAAATTTGTTTACTGTTTTCTTTTACTTTATTTCTATTCAAACTAGTTTGTGTTGTCAACATAATCCAATTTCTTTGGAAAAATGACAGTGCTGTTAATTTATGCTAGTTCAATCTAAGAAATAGAATTGGGGCCAACTAACTGAAATAGACAAGGGTGGGCTTCAAAACAGAAATAATGAGGTCTTCACAAACCACATTATTAAGTATGTATCAGTGATTGGTTGTCCAGTGACTTGCTCGTTAAAAGAGTGTGAAACGGTTTCTATATAAAAAATATGTTCAATGAGTGTGCTGATTTTGACGCCTTTTAAATTATCTGAATTACATTCAAAATAACAATATTCAGTTGGACTTTATTTATTTGGATAATGCCAATAAGCATTTATAAAAAGTGTGAGAGATTAATAATTGATATCAAAATGTTTATGTAAAAACAATTTTATACCTTCCATCTTTTTTGTTGAACTTCCTTAATCCTTCCAACAACAATATCACCAACTTCACCATTATAACGCAGTTTGAGAGGTTTCACGCTAATAAGTTTATTTATCCGTTCCACAACACCAGCAACACAAGCATGAAGTTTTTCATCTCTCATGTAACTTCCTGAACATAAAGGAGAAAACTTGCAATGGAAAAATACATAAAACTCCAAACAAGAATTGGTCAGTTCTTTGTCATATAAACTTGCAAATAAAAAGATGCATTTATACTGTTATAGGTAAACAACATTGTTGTCTCACCATGCCCTCTCATATAATCTGTATCATCTGTGACAATATCTCCAGGAGTTACGAAATGTGCCAATCCGTGTGAGCCCTTCTTCGTGGGCAACTTCGAGTATGCAGCAGGCCGACGAATTAGAATTTCTGATTCCATTACCGATTGGCTATTCCACGATTCAGATTTCAGTCATACCACCGACTACCGGTACACTATCTCCAAACTATGATACTGAAAACCACGCAATTCCGTTACCTCTGTGAAGTTAGCAGGAAAACACGAAATTGGAGCTGTTGACTGTTGTGTGGCGAACTTCATCTCGTTTATTTTGTCTTCCATGAGGTGGCACACGTGCGCCACAACTTCAAGATTATGGACGTTTCCCCGACCCTTGACCCCTGGAAGATTCTCCCCATACTTTATCATTGCAAAATTTACAACGTCGATTTTGAGAATGTTTTGGAGTGTTGGCGCTTACAAACTGGCTCACATGTTCAGAACTATCATTTTTATTTATTACAATAAACCACATGCCGCTTATAGGCACCGATAGCTAATTTTGGTCTGATATAGTCTATTGCAGGGGTTCTCAAACTTTTGGTGTTGCGGAGCCCGTGAAGATGTTGACTATTATTCAAGGAGTCCTAAAATAAATTTTAAAATTGTTACTTAACGATTAATACTACTGAGTAAGTTAAAAGTACTTTACTCGATTTAAATGCTAAACCTTTTTTAATAGGGTTAATACAAGTCATAAATAAATCTAAATTTCAAAGATAAATCATATATATTAAGGCTGTAAATTTAACACTTGACCAACATATTAATAAATTAGGGGTCGAATCTTTTTCCTTTTGATATTTTTGGAAGACTTAAAAGGTTGCTGCGCGATTGCATTTTGGTACAATCGCCGACTGTTTTCGTCAGCTAGAAACGTTATACCTTATTAAACATCGTTACGACGGTGTTTATTCTCCCTAAATCAAAAATTTCCTCCGGCATATACATGTATTGTTCCATAATGACGACGATAATTGCTTTTTTGTTCTCGTGGGGAATTATGAAATCGATGTGAAAAACATGTTAATATATTATAGTCATCGGCGACGAGATGCTAAATATAATTATTAACCCTTTCCGTGCGGTGGGCACGTATACGTACCCACGACAAAACTCGCTAGTTTGCGGCGGGTACGTTGATGTACTCCACTGTTTTATTTAGCAATCGGTCGCAAACTGTTGGTCTAGTTTTTCCGGGTTTTAGTTTATTGATAAGAAGTCTTCTTCGAGATTAACATAAGCGACGGTAAATCTCGCTTTCGTTTACCATGGGAATTTTATTTGCGGCGGAACGAGGGAGTGTTTTTGAAATTTATGCAAATTTCGGTGTTTTTTGGGTGGTAATAGAAGACATATTATCCCTTCCATCTACCAAAGTATTTTGAGTTAGATAACGAAATTGCTACAGCAATATTATGCTATTGTTTGCCAACCAAGAAGCGGTAACAGTAAAGGATTTAGCGAATATTTCTATTTTTTATCACGGTTTGAAGTTTCAACACCCAAGAAAAAAAATGCCTTTTTTCTTTCCGGTTTGTGACTCAGACCACCCCTTTTGAAAAAAAAAACAATTTTCAATTGCCAATTGCAAGCTCTTTAAATAAGCTTTCCAACGAGCCGTCAGTGGGCAGCAGAGGATCATTACTTTTTCGTTAGTCGATCGATTAGTTGTGGGGGTAGAAATGCATAAAGTCGGCGTAGCAAATACGATTATTTAATAAAAAATAAAAATCGCATGGAAAGGGTTAACGAATCGGCGGTAAATCCGCAACTCAAATTTCTTGATTGAAAAGCGGCATTATGAAATATTAAAACTAAACTTAAAACCGAAGATAACACTATAAATATTGTTTCAGCAGACTCACGACAGATTCAAAACGCTTTTTTAGACATTGCAAATGACAATATATATTTGATGTTATCTTAGGTTTTCTTTGGTTATTCATCGTAGTAACTGAAATCGAAACCCATTCTGAAACTACCAACGGAGCAGCATGCGATAACATAAATTTCAATCGTTCGTATTTTGCCTATCCTTGTGATTTTTTAAACGATGATCGGGTGATATCTTGCAAAGAATATGAGTGACAGACCTGCGATAGGGTGGAGTCAGTGCTGCAAGAAGGGCTCAAATTTGTCGAATTCGCTAAATCACTATGATCCACCACACTACCACGCAATCAATCAGTCATGATTACGATTTGATCGGGACGGGCACAAATATCTTATCAAACTTCTGGCACCGGTAATAGGTATTATGTTTTTTTGTCGGCAATATGACTCTGTTCCTAATATATTATGATAACAGCGTTGTTCAGGATATACGGTAGTCCACAAGAACTTCGTTCACTTAACTTTGTTTCATTGTTTCTCATTTCATGTCCGCGGATTGCCGTGGTTATTTGAGAAGTAATGATTTTCTATTGTAAGTCGACACAACCGCAGGTTACATTGAACACAATTAACCCAATAAACAAGTCATTTTAAATATGCCCGCATAGGTCATGGATTGCACAATTGTATATTGTACTTATTGAGTTTTAACGTCGACCTCGGGATTTTTGGAACGGCGATATCTTGCTTAAAAATAATCTCGAGTGCGAAGGAACAAATCAAGTTTGACAAATCCCAAGATCGCGAAAATACAATTCCAATTTATTTATAGTTGGCAACTTATCACGTATTTTATGCTATTTTAGAATAGTAATCTTTTATTTAAGTAATCCTCGTAGTAATCTTGAATCAAACGTGAGTAACGATGAGCACAATGAAATTATTATGACAAGACATTTTAAATGTTGCATCAGTCATGGATTGAATATTTTACGCAACAGAAATCTCGTTATCCACTAAAAAAGTTTTTTACTTAATAATGTTGCGCGGAAATTTCCGATTTCAATTTTGATCCCCCCTCTCCCTTAAGAATTCTGGCTGCGCTCCTGCATCTAAATAATGTAAATCTCGAATTCCGCCACTTTGTCATATTTCGAGGCTATACTGTTGCCAAATTTTATTAAAGCTGTTATTGCTTCTTTGGACAGTTACAAAATTAGCCAAGTCAGTCTTTTGAAAACTAATCAAATAGCTTGCGGAGCCCCTAGGCTTCTCTCGCGGAGCCCTGGGGCTCCGTACGGAGCACTTTGAGAACCTATGGTCTATTGTAGCGTTTGCGGTTTTGATCTTAGGATAGGATAGGATTTACATATTTATCCCGGGGGAGAGGAAAGCCGATAAAACGGCTTAATCATATCATTGATGACTTAACAATGGTTGGAAAACTCATTGTCATCGCCACAGACGTTACACGCTTGAATGATCTTCAGTAAAATGCTAAAATCATATTCCGGGGCGATCTGAGAGTATCCGTCACAAAATGGTATCTGGGAACATTCCCTCTTTTGAAGCACTCCATAGAAAAAACTGTGGTTGTTCATGACGAGATGCAGGAACTCCAATAACATTCTTTTACAATCATTATTTGATTCCCAGATACTGTTTGTTACGAGTTATCTTAGATTCTATACCTCACTTTTGGTCTCTCAAATTGCTATATTATAACTCTTTTTTGAGACTTACTGTGAATCTGATTGTCATATCAGGTATTTTATGTATTTATTGCGTTATTTTTGTTTTGCTTATGTTTATTTGTTGTGTTGTTTTTATATGGACCACAGCGGTCTGGAGTAATAAACGAATTGAAAAACGAATTGAATTAAACAATGCTTTTTTTATGGCGGAGCCGCCTGGAATTAAAGCCTGAAATCTCGTAAAATGGGGTATTATACCAGACAATTTAATAGTAAATATGTTTATACGGCCGTATTCATACACACTGTTGAAATAGAAATTATATGATGTATTCGGACAAATTTATAATTGATCACAAGTGCGAACATGTGCGTGACATCGTATATTAAATCCAAAGTGGGATATGCGACCAGAGGGTGGTTTCTGATCAATCTGTGAGAATTGTGGAAATGTCTAAATTGCGTGTGATTGCATTTTGTTATATTAACCGATTTAATTCAGTGTAATCCGTAACGTTGGGATCTGAGCGCCTTCACGTCGTTATTTATTCTCGCTCAATTTCCCGCTGCAAACTCAACCCATTTCAGAATATTATTGTAAGCATCTTGTTCAATAAGTTGTTTTGTTCCGTATTGTAAAATATATATAATAAAACGAAAAATATCTTTAGTTTCTTTAGGCTGGTGACATATTATGCATTGCTTGAAGAAGTGAATACCGAATATGGCGCACATATCCTAGCGCCACCGTGAACGTTTGATTCAAAATAGCAGCCCTGTGCGAAATGCAAAAAAAATCTGTAAGATGACGATGATGCGATACAAAAATAAATATAATATTTTGAATTTCGTGTATCTGTGCTCATATGCTCTGAATTTGAATCAAATTGAGTGAGAAACGCGATTCTATAACATTGTGCATTTCGTAACAGGATTTTGAGAAATTGAGTGATAAACGCGTTTTTACAACATTGTGCATTTCGTAACAGGATTGTGTTAGCTTGTTTTAGTAATATGACCGTGGCACTCAGTAATTAATATAGGCTTTGTGAAAGAGAGAAAGATTAAAATTGCTCGCACGCACCAAATTAAATGATCTAAAAACAACATTCAAAATTAAATGGCAACACCATTCAAAATTCGCGCTTCTCCGCGAGCCCGACAAATTTTCTAATCGAGCGGCAGTTTGCACATCCCTGTTTTAGGGCATTCTGAAACTATCGTCGGGGCCACATGCAACTTTTACTCTGGTTATTATGGAATATAGGATAAATAATGTAATGCGTATTCAGTCAAATTTTAATGTACTAAAACAAATCGTAGTTTTTTGATATTTCATCCGAGACCTGGGATTTTTCTTAAAAAATAATAGAAGTGGCAGAGCGGAGTACCAATGTAACTTTGGGTAGACTTTGGGATTTTAGAGTAGATCTTGGGATTTTTTAAATACGATATCTTATAAATATATTCATAACTGGCTGTCAATACATTAGAAACTCTACCTACAAAATTAATTCGTTTCGGAAGCCCCATCTTAAGTAGAAAATTCTGTAAGTAAGGACGCAGTTTTCATATAAATGCCTTAATTCGTTCTAAGCCTACACAAAACCCGGACGTAACATTTATATAAATTTTATTACCGGGTAAACCCGTAACAATAACATGTTAGAATTAAATTACCACATAATAAATAGAAAATGTACACATAGAAAGAATAGAGGAATAACCAATAAAAA